TTCAATTTTTTAACAGCCATGAAGAGTGCAAGACCAAATTTCTCCACTAGGGGATACCTCAACTCGGCATTTTTCAGTACGTGACTGACAAAGTAGACCGGAAGTTGACAGCCGTCCCTTTCAGCAAGGAGCACCGCGCTTAACGCATGATCAGAGACGGCCAGGTACATGTAGAGATTTTCTTTGGGCAAAGGGCTGACCAGCCTTGGCAAGGAATGCAAGTGAACCTTTAATTTCTGGAAGGCGGCCTCAGCATCCGGCCCCCATTCAAACCTTGCCTTTTTCTTAATTGCCTGGAAAAAGTATAGGCATTTGTCGCCTGATCGGCTTAGAAATCTTCCCAAGGCCGCCAGACAACCTGTTAACTTCTGAACCTCTCGGACGGTACGAGGCGACTGCATGTCAACGACCGCCTGTACCTTCTCAGGGTTCGCCTCTATTCCTCTCTGGTTGATAAGGAATCCGAGAAATTTCCCAGACTCAACTCCAAATACACATTTCTTGGGATTGAGCATGACATGGTGCCGCCTGAGTGTGGCGAAAGTTTCTCGGAGGTCCGTCAGATGATCTTTCTGAAGTTTAGTCTTAACAATCATATCATCAATGTATGCCTCGACGTTTCTCCCAATCTGATCAAAGAACACTGTGTTTATCATTCGTTGGAATGTAGCCGGGGCATTCTTAAGACCAAACGGCATGACCGTATAACAGTATAATCCCTGATCAGTGACGAAGGCCGTCTTCTCCTGATCTTTCTTCCACAAAGGAATTTGATGAAAACCAGAATAGGCGTCCATAAAACTCATCAAGGCATGGCCGGCTGTTGAGTCGACCAGGTTATCAATTTTTGGCAGAGGGTAACTGTCTTTGGGGCACGCCTTGTTCAAGTCTGTGTAGTCTACACACATTCGCCAGGTGCCATTCGGCTTTTTAACAAGTACCACATTTGCAACCCAATCTGGGAAGTAACATTGCCGAATGAACCCTGCATCAAGTAATTTTTTGACTTCGGCGGCGGCCGCCTGACCTCTTTCTTCACCATGGTTCCGCTTCTTTTGCCGTACCGGCTTATTTTTCGGATCCACAGCGAGTTTGTGTACTGCCAGATCAGGACTAATGCCTGGCATTTCATGGACTTCAAATGCAAAGATGTCCTTGTATTCTTTCAACAGGTTGTGAAAGTCATCACCAAGGTTTCTCAGAGCAGTCGTCCCAACTTTGACTGTTCGGTCAGGGCGGGAGTCGTCTAATATCAGGTCCGTATGCTCACCAGCCGGCTGAGGGCGGAACTCATCCGGCCGGTCCTCTGCCAATGATTGCTATTTTCTTGCCTTTCTGGCGGACTCTGTCTGGGACGCCTTTCTTTTTCTGTCGCCTGTTTCTTGAACAGGCGCACTTTCCTTGACATTGTCAAGGTCTGTTTTTTCTCCACTTGACCCAGTGGCCTTAGCAGTGGGTTTGACATCCGAGAGATAGCACTCTCGGGCCATCCTCTGATCTCCCCTTAGGGAGCCGACTGTTCCATTGTCCCTTTCAAACTTAAGCAGCATAAGTGACGGGATTATAACAGCCTTGGCACTATTCAGGGTTGGGCGACCCAGAATCATGTTGTAGGCAGAGAGTTCCTCTACAACTAGGAATCGGACTACCATGTGTCGTCCTTCCCCTTTTTCGCCCAGGCGGACGGGTAGATCAACTCGTCCCAGTGGGTGGACGACTCCTCCTCCAAACCCTATTAAAGGGTGGGAGGCCGGATGTATGCAGTCCGTCTGATATTTCAGTTTTGACAGACATTTGCTGCTGATGAGATCTGAAGAGCTCCCAGTATCTATGAGGATTCGACCAACTCTCTGGTTGGCCACTTTACATTCAATAACGAGAGGGTCGTCATGCGGCCCCCTTATTCCTCCTAGATCCTCTTCAGTGATGACAATCTCAGGAAATGTATATTTGGACGGTCGTTCTTGGTGAACGGAATTTACATCTAACCGCCTTATATTATCTTTGTTGCCCCTAATAGTGGGGCCGCCTCCTGAGAAGCCGCCTGCAATGGTGTAGACGACTGCATCATCTGTATCGGAACTGTCGGCCTGTTGATTCTTTTTGGCCGACTGCTTTTTTGAGGAAGTATTCCCCGTAGATTTCTTGACATAAGTGTCAAGATCACCTTGATCAGCCAAGCGGTCTAGGTACCGCATGAGACTAATGCAGTCGTTGGTGTGATGACCAATGTCATCATGATAAGCACAGATTTTGTCTTGGTTCCGGTTGCTCGCAGAACCCTTCATGGGGAGCGGTTTCTCAATTGAGAGCCGTCCCTTTATTTCTTTTAGGATAAACTGGTTATCCTTGTTAAACACATACTTTGGGGAGTATGGTTTGAATTCCTTTTTCTTCTTGGCCGGCTGTTTAGAGGAATCAGCCGCCCAGACCCCTTTTCTTTTTTCATCTTTGTTGGACGACTGTTTCTGTCGTCCTTCTCTATTGTCGAACCTCTTCCCGTCCGACTGTTTCATTGTACACAGATCAGTCGCCTGTATATAAGCTTCTGCTTCAATCAAGGCCTCTTGAAGAGTCGCCACCCTTTTTCGAACTAAATCAAATTTGAAGGTAGACCCGTCTTTGAGACCTCTAAAAAAGTCAGTATAAGCTACCTCATCCGGTAACCCTTGAATCTGTATTCTCATCAGGTTGAACCGCCTGATGTAGGAACGAAGCCCCTCCTTTTCACCCTGCTGAATTGTTCCCAAATCAAGGGTCGTTTTCTTCGCAGGGATGTTCATTGCAAAGTTGGAGGCAAATAAGTAAGCAAGCGTCCTGAAACTGTTTACACAACCAGTCGGCAGGTTGCCGAACCATTGCTGTGCAATTCCCTTGAGAGTTGCTGGGAAACACTTGCACCAAGTGGGATCATCCAACCCTTGAAGGTACATCAGGTTGGTGAATGCCATCAGATGGTCTTCCGGGTTAGTAGTGCCATCATAGGCGCCTACTAAAACATTTTTTACTTTGGCCGGCTGAGCGGCTTCAGTAATTTCCTTGGAGAAGGCCGACGGCTGTTCACCAAGTCTAAGCAGCCGTAGCTGCCAGTCCATAGGTTGGACGTTTTTTGCTGCAGGTCCACCAAATGGAGGTGGCTGCATAAAATATTGTTGTTGCGGCACAAATGGCAAATTTGGTACCGCCTGCGCACTATGAAAGCCAGACTGTCGGGAGGTGCCGCCTGACTGACTCTCATGGTACGACTGAGTTGGCCTCATCGAGGCATTTCGCAAACTGTCCTGAAAATTTGAAGTAGAAGCCGACTCTGATAATCGGTCACTCCTCTTCTGCTCTAGCAGGTGCCGAGCATCTGTGAACGTTTGCTTTGACCCGTCCGCCTGAATATGACGAACCGGTTTCCTATTTCCCGTAGGATAACGGAGTTTTGTGAAATCAAGAGCAGACGGCTCCCGCTTCTTAGATTTAGGATGGGGAGTCGCCTCTCGCCCTTGAACTGGCTTCCTCTTGAGTGAAGTGGAAGGTTTTTTGGCCGCCTGCTCTTTGACTGAAGCAGGCGGTTTTTTGTTGATCAACTCTTGGATCTCTCCCTTGAATCCCCTCATGAAGGTCATGAGTTCGTTCCTTGTGATGGGAGCAGACCCATCAGTCGGCTGTTGCCGAGCAAGCGGTGCGCCTGCTGGCTCGCTTCCTGTTTGAAGATACTCCCGTTCCCTTATTTCAGTATGACGGGTACGGCGGGCCCTTAGGGTCCCGTCTGGAGCTGTATGAGTTTCAACTTCAAATTCACTTTCGGTATCATGGTCCGACTGAACTTGAGGGTCGTCTAGGGGACGCCTCTCTTCTGGGGTCGGTACAGACTTGGATGCCATCTCTGAAGTACTCTCCCCACAGACGGCGCCAAATGTTTCGGGGTTTTCTGATGTCCTGCGGGAGAGTTACAATTCCGAGACTGGAACCGGACGCCTGTACCTGCAAAATAACGGAGACTCCTGAGAGCTCCGCCTCCAACGGTCAAGTTAGTACCTGATTAAGGAGTAATTAATACAGAAATTAAAGTAATAAGGTCTCTCTAGGTGAGAGTATTTAATGTAGGTAATCTGCTTTGCTAGCGAGATCAGCCGGTTATTAGTGTGTCCCGTAATGTATTCGGTCCCTTGATTAATGAGGATTAATCGAGTATTTATAGCCTTGGGAAGCGTGCAACTCTCTAGGTTTAAGGTAAACCTAGGGCCGAACGGGCTTCTAGACTGAAATGGGCCTTGATGGCCGGTTGTCCCATTTGGCATGGGTGGACACGTGGCGTGTCTTAAGTGGTCCGTGGAGGACGCGTGGCGGAACCTGGTTGGTCCACTTGTCAAACGGCGCTTGGTGGATAAAAATCCCCTAATCAGTACGGGTATAAGGTGGGTACGAGTCGGGGCGGATATGGGGCGGGTCTACTCTAAAATCCATACCCGTCCCATCACCCATGACGGGTACACATTTTATACCCATCCCCGCCCCATCACCCTCCAAACCTCCCTCCATCCCCGCCCCACTTGGGCGAGGATGGAGCGGGTCTCCCATTTAACCCGACCCACTGCCATCCCTAGCTTTAAGGTATTATTTTTATCATTTATGTGCCTGAGAGCCTGTTCACTTCAGTTTAATTTCAGTTCAGTTCAATTTAGCTCCAATCAGTTTGGTTCCCTTTAGTTCTTAATTTCCTTCTCACATAAAATTATCATTTTATTTCAGTAGATATAAATCTCTTTATATTGTCATATGATTCAGCACAAAATCTAGATTGACAATTGTGATACTTTTAAATGCTACTCCCTCCGTTTTTAAATACTTGCTCCATTTCTCCATACGCGGATTTTTAGGAGAAATTTGATAAAGTAATAAAATATGGAGGTAGTAGGGTTGATGGAAGAATAAAAAATTGTAAAAACCCAAAAGTAGTGGAGAGAATTGAAGAAGAGAGAATATGGAATTAATATGTTGGGTCCACTTGGTGAGAGAAATTAATTAAATATTGTAAATACTTTTCAAATAAGGAAATGGAACTAGTATTTAAAAACAGAGGGAGTACTTCATATTTCAACTGGTATCTTACAAAGAGCCATGTTTATGGTTTTAATTGATTTTTATAGAGATTTTGTGATTACAAAATATTGTTACAGAATTGAAGTACATCATAACCACCAGGTTGATAGACTATTTATCTTCCTGAGTTTATTTCTTGTCTTTTTCAATTTGTTTTTTGGTTGCATACATTGACTCACTGATACATAAACATATGACATGATAGTATGGGTGCTTCAATAGCATAATGAACGAATGTCATAAGATACGCCTCATCATCATCGTCGATAATTTGAACTCGCAGGCATTAGCTAGATATCAATGATTAGGAAATAAAAATGTCCAGATAGCGTACAATGATAGCAGCAACAGCAATCCTAAAGAATAGGGCAGAATGGCCTCCTTGATCGACCAGCTGAAAGCAGGTAGATATAGTAGCACAATTCAGTACATCACAAACAAGCGCGATTCTCTGAATTCTTACAGCAGGGAATATGTAATGAAGCCAGAAGTACAACAATTGGCAGAAAATATCTTATAATGTCTAAAAATTAAGCATGATTTTGTGTTAAGCTCATAACATATATACACCGTACTAACATAGTAACATGTATGTTTGAAGGATTTAAATTTATCTCTATAAGTTCTAAATGGTCAGAGCCTGTGGCTGCTGTTAGTTGCTGGCCTGGCGCGGCTGCTATCTCTTTCATTGCAGAAGAAAGTGTAGAGAATCGCGCTTGTTAGCTTAAATTAGGATTGAGGATATGTCACTAAGGGTATGACAAGCATCAGGAGTAAGGTGCATGTCAACAAAATTGCTGTATTTTCAAGTAAACCCAATGTCAACATTTATATGTATAACAGTAACAAAAAAGAACAATAATAAATCATTATGTAACATGAATTAATTATTTTCTTTAATGCCATGCTAGTACTATGCTAGCATAGAGATGCACAAGTTTATTTGCAAGCTAGTGTATGTAGACTTTATTTTCACAATAACCAAATTAAAGGTATCATAAATTATCGCGAAAATAGACATTAAATGACTTTATTTTGGTTAATCTGTTTTGCCATTGTTCAGCTTTGCTTGCATAATAATCAGCTAGTTATTCAAAGATTAAGGTTCTGACCTCTGGTTGGCAACCTAGGATTACGATCATCATGAGGGCTAATCCTTGAATATCGAGAACGAAAGGGCCAAATCGAGCTCAACCGGTTCCAATTCAAGCATCTACGAGGCCTACTAATATCAATACTTGAACTTTCTGATTCAAGTCCTCCTCCTGCATCTTCACATTGAGGCAATGTCGGTAGCTCGGTTCGACAAACAGGACAGGAGTTGTGCAGCCTTAACCAAGGTACAATGCAGTCAGAATGGTAAACATGTTTGCATGGTAACTCTTTTACTTCAGTCCCTATTTCAAACTCCTCTTTACAAACAGGACACTCTGACCCACCTTCTTTCACATGCTCTGCAGTCAGCTTCACCATTGGGACCGCCTCGATCGCGTTATCCGGTGCTGGTGGTGGTCCCTGGAGGTCGTTCTCTGTCAGTTCTTCAATCAGCTGTTGTAAGCCTGGTCCAAGGAAGTAGTTTCCCGGATCAGACTCAATAAAGGGGGGTAAGGTCTCGGGCCTGGAAACCGGGCCTGTTGACCCGGGTGGCAGGCCCGTGGGCCTAACAATGACCCACCTTGGCCTGGGACGTAACCCCGGCTGAATATCCCAGTCATCCCTACGGTTCGAAGGCCGTGGGACTTGAACCCATCTAGGCCGTTCAGAAGTAGGCCCTTCAAGTACTACATCCCTACTAGACTGTCGTCGTGGGACGGCCCATGGGTTATTGGGCTCACGGTTTCGTAACCTCAGTGGCGGGTCTAGCATAAGGGCCAAGGCTTCAAGGAGACGGGCTTGAGGGGACGGGTCGTCATATGTAAAATTAAAAACTAGTCTTGGCCTAGGGATTTCCATCTCACACACAAACTGACCAAAACATCGCGGACAAACAATTTCCGACGGGTTGTCCGAGGAGATCCGGACAATCCGTCTACATTGGTAGCACCAATAAGAATTAAAATTTTGAGTCGAGTCAGGTCGAGTTGAAAGAGGACTCAAAGACATTTGCTTTAAAAAAAAAATGTGATACGTGATTAAGTTGGTAAGTGTAACATTTGGGGTATCACAAATTTAGATTATATATGTGATTGTACATTAGACAGGAAAATAGGGAAGGAATTGTTTAGGGGTATGTAGAAAGAGATTCTTTATCTTTGTGTTTTGTTTCTGTTTTTGTGAGTTTGATTGTTAAAGAAATTAGTTGAGTGAGAGCTGTGCAAAACTTTGTTACTTGCCCGGGAAGAAACGTTACTATATTTGATTCTCTTTTCTTTGAGAACAATTCTCATCTTAAACGACGTTGTATGAGGAAGGGGGTGTTAAAAGATTTTAAATTTTGAAAAGGCTTTAAAACCTCCATTAGAATTTAGAAGTTTATTTTAAAAAGGCAAAATTAGCAAGAGCATAAAAAATGTGCCATTATTATCAAGTGATACAATGCAAAATACTCCCTCTGGTTTTTTTTTTTTTTTTTTATTTATATTTTTTTTATGCATCAATTAGGCCAGTATATTTGCCGAGACGTTACTTTGACCATTAATATCTTTAATTGTGTATAGTAAAAATTATAACAAAATTATATTACGAACCTAGACATTATGAAAAATCCAATGATATATTATATAAGGGTAATGTTATACATAGTCCTTAGGGTTATAATATAAGCATTAAAAACACTCGTGAAAATTGTATAAAATTAGGAATTCATGACAAAAACACGCGTAGATCAGTGTAATTAGTGTGAATTGTAATGATTTTCTAAATTTAAATAGTTTTAAGAGTATATTTAATGTTTATATGTAGCCCTAAGGGCTATATAGAGCATTTTCCATTATATAATAACATTTATTTATTTATTTATTAGAGGTGAAAAACTTAAGTCAACCATGATACTCGACTGGCACATAGTTTTAGGCAATTTAATTGACTTAAATAAAATAAGAGGTAAGTGGGGTAGTTGAAGTAATAAAAAATTGTAAAAGAAAGATAGTAGGGTTAATAGTTTATTTAAAAGTAATGAATGTGAGAGGAGAGATATAATATAAAAAATATTAGTGGGTTTGGGTGAGGACCATAAAAGGAGAGAGATATAATATTTTAATATAGCTTTTTGCCAAAAAAGAAAGTGTAACACTTATTAATACACAGCCGAATTTGGTAAGTGTAATACTTAAAAAAATACGGAGGGAGTATGTGAATAGTGCAATTGTCAAAGTGATATTAAAAAAAAATAATAAAAAACCGGCTGGAGTACCATTTTTAAGGATTCAGTTTAATTTGTTAATGCAAGATTTGATTTATTTTAGAGTTTTCATATGACTTTTTAATAAACCAATTTTTAAAACATTATATATATATATATATATATATATATATATATATATATATATATATATATATATATATATATATATATATATATATACTAAAGTAACAACCGTTGATGTCACCACTGCCTACGTGTCACTTTCTTATTTTATTTTTTCCCTCCAAAATACATGGATGATGTCATATTTTTTCCTTTACAAGCTACTCTATTTAACATTGCTTTGAAAATTAAATTCCATTTTAATTTTTAAATTTTTTGTTTTCTATAGATATTATGTTATTTAGTTATTTATGATTTGTTAATAATAGTTAATAATATAATTTAATTGAAATTTCCTAATTAAATATGAAAATTATGCACTTTTGGGAATCGTATATTCATATTTAATCAAAAATTAATTAGGAAAACGGAGGAAGTAGTTATTTTATTTCAATATGTGTTAAAAGTTTATAATTAAATTCTTATTATAAACCGTGCATCGCACGGGATTAACCTAGTTATTAAAATAAAAGCACAACTTATGGAGGATGGGTGGGATTTGTTACTCCCTCCGAGTTTTAATAAGTGTTACATTTTGATCGATACATAGTTTTAGGCAATTTAAGTTACTTAAATAAAATAAGAGATAAGTGGGTAGTTGAAGTATTAAAAAATTGTAAAAGAAAGATAGTGAGGTTAATAATTTATTAAAAAGTATTTCCTAAAAAAAAATAGTTTATTAAAAAGTAAAGCATGTACGTGAGAAGAAAGATATAATAAAAAATTTAGTAGTGGGTTTGGGTGGGGATCATGAGAGAAGAGAGATATAATATTTAAATGTAATTTTTTGCCAAAAAAAGAAAGTGTAACACTTACTAAAACACGGCCGAATTTGGTAAGTGTAACACTTATTAAAACACGGCCGGATTTGGTAAGTGTAACACTTATCAAAACACAGATGGAGTATATTTTAAGAAAGAAAACTAAAATTAATTGTCTTATGCACTACGCTGGTGTAGTAAATGTTAAGCAGTCGCCTTTTAGGTTAGCACGACCGTGAAATTTGTGAGCACTCACAAATCCAATGGACTCGAAATATTGCCCAAAAAACAGAAGTAATCTTTTAAAGAAAAAGGAGTAGTATTTGTATTTTATGTTTTATTACTTATTTTATAGTAATCTAGAAGATGTGTATGACAAATTTAGGTTGTAATTCAACTTCACCTGAAAGGTCATTAATAAGCAAGTTGATGACATTAGATGCCTTTTATATACAGTTGATGACACTGAGGTGTCTTTCGGTTTGTGTCAATAGTTTTAGGCAAAGGCTACGCATAAACTAGGTTATGTGGGCCAAGTGTAAACTATTGATGTGACAGCTTGTTATAGGTGTTTACTTTGGAGTCTAATAAAACTATTTTAAAACATTTCATTCAAATTTCAAATAAAATTTCAAAATTAATTTTAAATTAGATTTTCATTTTCAAGGCACAATTAATGTACCCAAATTCCCAACCTTTCTCTTCTATTTTTTGCCGACAGAATTTTTTTGGGGTTGATTTTTCTCTCTTCTAAAGTTCTTCATGTTCATGAATTTATTTTAATTTTTTTTTAAAGATTTTTGCTATAATTTAATAAAACTTTGTTTATGTATCTAATTATTGAATAATTCTCCTCTAATTTTTTCTGGATGAAATTATTTATGGTCTGATTTTTTCTCACTTCTCTCCTTTTTAATGTTTTTTCATGTTCTTGAATTATTTTTTTTCTTTAGATTTTTTTCTATAATTAGTCTTTTATACTACATAAAATGTTTCATGAATCAAACATTGTTTATCTATCTAATTAGCGAAAAATTCTACTCTCATTTTTTCGGCTGAAATTTTTGTGGTCTGATTTTTTCTCTCTTTAATTATTCTTCATGTTCTTTGTTTTTTGTAAAAATGAGTTCATCTTTTACTTAAAAATTTGTTTATTTACAAAATTGATATGAATGTAAAATGTTTCGTTGTACAATTTTTTTTTAAAATATTTGTTCTTTATCCTTGTTTCAGATTTATTTTGTAGTATTTTTTTTTTATTTGTATGAATCTTATAATCAAAACTCGAAAAAAAAAGAATTTTGTTAGTTTTTCAGATTACTCATATATTAGCTTCATTTTATTGAGTTTTTAGATTGTTAAATTGGTTTGAAGACAAGTTTTCATCCTATTTCAATGGAATTGTATTGTATTATGTGAATGGAAATATCGTTATTTCCAATGTTCTTAAGTTTTCCCAGATTTTAACAATAAAGTATAAAATTTCTTCAAGTTAGATTATTATTGATTAGTAACAGAAGATGGACACTGGATTATTCACAATGACAACATATTAAACTCCTTGAATTATGTCGATAACAAATTAATAGGAAATTAATATTTACTTCTAGAATCAATCATCAAGCTTTCCCATCCATGAAATGTTTGGAGTCAATTAATTGATAATTAAAATAATTGTGAGTAAAAGAAAGGGGAAAAAGGGCTAAGTCCCAAAAAATAAAATAAAAAGGGGTATAATGATTGTAAGTTTGTAATTTATTTAGTAACAACATTCATTTAAATAGTATTCAAGAATTATATTACAATAACAACTATTATCTAAATTGTATTCAAAACTATTATCCTGCAAATATCCTGCAAACAATTATATTACATACAAATATAAAGTATCAAGATGTTAACATGGTGAATATCCTGCAATTTTGATTATGGATATGTTTTAAAACTTTTACTTATTTTGTACCTAAAAATCTTAAGTTTAGAAAATTTCCTTACAATTAGTAAACAAAATTTTGAAAATTTTAATTTTCATTATTAAATTGTCTTAAAACTTTATTTATTTTGCATTTTTAAATATATATATATATTTTTGATAAAATGATATATTTACCATTAACCGTCAACTATTATTTAATTTGTATTCTAAATTTATTTTATTTTAACCTTCCACCATTTTATATTAACCCTTCACTAGTTATTTTAGCCCAACTCAAGTGTTATCATTAGTATTAGGTGTTTCAAGCAAACATTAAGTATTTCAATAATTATAACCTAATTTGTAAATGATTATTTTTTTTTTTTTGCATAATCTCACTTTTTGGTAAAACAATTGATCGGTGTAATATTATAATTGTTATGCCATTTAATAATCAATTATTGTTTATTATTAATATTAAGGTTCGTAATTTTACTTTTTAGTAAAACAATTGATCGAGATTTAGTAGTTGTATTATTAAAAAGGAGCATTATTTCATTAAAAAGAGTATTATTTCACTTTTAAAAATAACCATTGATCCAGAGTTAGTATGTGGGTACACTACAAGTTTAATAATTTTTGTGTCTTTTGGAGTAATCGACTATCTTATATTAACTATTAAGGAATAAGATCATATTAGTATTGCAAAAATAATGGATGAATGGTTTATTATTGATTATAGTTACTAATCTTTTTATTACACGATAAGAAAAAGGATGATAAAATGAAGATTAGTTATAGATCTTCTTACATAGTAAAAAAAAAAAGTTTGATATTATAAATACGTAATTGGAAACTTTTAAATTGTTTCATATAACCCTACATTTATTAATAACCGATAACTACTTTTTTGTATTCCAAACGTCAATTAACCCAGGCCATACTATTTGATTTTAACACTTCACTATTTCATTTAATCCCTCCAATTTAAATAGTATATTTATTAGCTGTTGATAATTAAGTTTTGAATTACAAATGTTATTGATTTTAACACTATATATTTTTTTTATTACGTGATTTAAATCGTCCAATGCAAGTTTTGTTGTTAGTTTTTCATGGTTAAAGCAAGAAATACTGTTTCTAGAGTTACTCCTTAATTTGTAAGTATTTGGATTTGACATGTCATTTTTATACTCTGCTGTTTTAGTTTAAAGTTATATCCATTTTTCATAACAAAACGATGTTTACTAATATTAGGAGTAAAAAATAAAGGTAGAATACAAAACTATAATAAGGTTAAAATTGTCCAACTATTTAACTTTTTCGAAAAAATATCGATATGGATTTGTTTAGAAAGAGCATTAAAAAAGAATTTCATTGATGTTTTTATAATAATTTTTTGATTTGTAGTTTAAGAAACATTACAAATTGTTATATTATTCAATTTTTTTTTAAATAAATCTCTCTCATCATTAATTACTCTAAACTAGGATATTATTATTTCTAGTAACAAATTCTATTTATTAGTATCATACTCCGTAATATAATTGTTTAGTACTACAATATTGAAATTATTATGCACTAAATGTAGTTTATTGGCGCTTAACTTTTTTCTCCCGTCCAACCTTGCATTTAGGGGCCCAAACCCAAATAATTTCCCCTCCTAATTTTCCCAATAGGTCCAAGATGCACACTTGTGCACCTATTTTAGATGCAACACCAGCCCACAAGCCCAATTTCAAACGCGCCCTATTAAAAAAGCCCCAAACCAAAATGAGCCCACCCAAAAACTGAACATATTTTTATAATACAGCCCACTTAACTATCACTTTCAACGACTATTATTTTTTAAATATATATATATTTTTTTAAAAAAGCATTACTCTTAAGTTTAAATTTCTGAAATTTATTACTCCTCTCTTTGATTTTCTCTCTCTAACAATCAAACACAATTCACTCTTTCTCTTCAAAAACAACCATGAATATTTGAGATGAGATGAAAATTTAAACGAATTCTCCCCCAAAAGGCAATTTTATGTAAATTTCACTTAATTTTGTTTGAATATTGTTCGATACTCTATTGTTCGAAATCTTTTATTGGAATTGTCAAAAAATATTAGTGAAATCAAACCGATACCTTATGTTCACATTTTGAAATGCATATGTTCATATTTTGAATACTTATGTTCACTTTCTGAAATGCATATGTTCATATTTTTTTATGCATATGTTCACTTTCTTAAATGCTTATGTTCATATATTGAATCCTTTTGTAAACTTTCAGAAATGCATATATTCACTTTCTAAATCCATATGTTCATATTTTTTTTTATGTTTACGTTCATCTTCTAAAATGCTTAATTATGTTCATACGTATTAAAAAATGAACCAATGCATATGTTCATATTTTGAATGCGTATGTCCATTTTCTAAAAAGCATATGTTCATATTTTTAATACTTATAATGCATATATTTTATAATCATATTTTTTTTCTTCAATTTTTTATGTTCATAGTTAAATGCCTCATATTCATAATTATATTTTATATGTTTATAATGTAAATATTCAAAGTAAATATTTGTTGTTCATGAAATATTCTCATTAAGTCTGTTTGTGCATATGTTCAGTTTCTTAAATGCATATGTTCATATTTTTTACGCATATGTTCAACTTTTAAATGCTTATATTCACTTTAAGGAAACCAATGCTTACGTTCATTTATTGAATTGTTATGTAACTTTATGAAATGCATATGTTCATATTTTTTATGCCTATGTTCACATTCTGAAAAGCTAATGTTCACATTTAAGGAAACCTGTGCATATGTTCACATTTTGCATGATTATGTTCATTGCTAAAAAAAATGCTGAAAATCAGATGAAATTCATACACAAATGAAATTGATTGAAGCTAAAAAAATTCAATTCATATGAATTCAAAAAATAGATAAACTTAATCAATTGAAATTAAGCACACATTCACCACATAATAAATTCAATTGAAAAATTGAATCAAAAAATTGAAACAAAAGAGAAAAAAAACAGAGGAGAGAGAAATTAAAGAAGGAAGGAGAAAAAAAAACAGAAGAAAAGAAAATCATAATGAAATTTTTGGTCGAAAATTTTGATGAGAATTAGGAAAGAAAAGAAAAGAGAAGAGAGAGAATTGGTAAGAAGGAAACCAAAAATTGTTGATCGAAAAGAGGAGAAAAAATTGGGAAGAAGGAAATGTGTTGGCGCGAAGAATGTTGATAGAGTTCAGATGTAACACCCCCAAATCTCCCTCTACGAAAATACTAGTATAATACGTATAATTATACCGTAGAGATAGACTTAGGCGTATTACCGCCGCTTGAAAACGCAAGGCTACTCAACTTACTAAAAATAAACCAATACTTAGCAGCGGAAACTTCAATACTCTTCTTTATTAATAATAACCATAATAGTAACCAATGTTATGAGTACTCCAAAATAGATACAAGACCAAATTCCTAATTTAGTGAAAACCAATCCCGGGACTCCAATGCATCATTTATTGGCTCCAACCTGAAAATAAGCAACACTGCTTACCATTACGGTAAACAGGGCGAACCAAAACAAATAAGAAGTACGAGTTAGCAAAATATGCTAAGTACGATAAGTGCAAGATAATTAAACTCAATTTATTCACAAACATGCTTTAAAACCAATTTCCAATAATTCCTAACTCATGGTTTAAAACCAATTCTCAATAATTCCAATATCAATAATCAATAAAACCAAATCCAATTATTTTAAAACCAATTCCTCATATTAAAACCAATTCCTCTCCCAAGTGTGCACACCCCCTAAGCTAGTCTCCTTATGTTACAAGGCTATTCTTGAGGAAAGACCCGGTCATGCAAAGTCCAAGGCCTTATCAATAAACCAAATCCGCATAGTGGAATTACCAACATGCTTATAAAGCATAAATAATAATAAATCCATGATTCAATAAATCCTCTTTAAATCCAATAATTCAACCTTTAATGAAAACAATCCAAACTCCTTTTCCATAAATCCAAATTGCTTTCAAAATCAATCCTTTTTAAACATGAATAATAAATTAATTAATCAAAACATGTTATAAAAATCAATACTCCAATTTAATTATTAAAACCAATCTTTTAAACATACTTTTATTTCATAAACCATAATTCAATTCAATTTAATTCAAACAACATAAATCATTCAAACATGTTTCATTCAAATTGATCACTTCCAAGGTATCTAGCCACCTAACGTACCTTGATCTTCACTTAGCCAACAACACTTCAAAAGAACTCTCAAGTAGCTTGATCAAAAACACCCTACAAATAAATATAACCTTAATCAATATAAGGTTAACAAATAATCACAAATAATTAAATTAAACCCTCTCAACTAAATGTACATGAACCTCTTAAATTAATTCAACATGAACATTATTAAAATCTGATTTTATATAATTAAAACTACTCATAATAATTTTATATTAATCTCCCATAATAATAATAATTGAATAAAAGAAAAGGAGAAGAAAAGAATTGGATTTGCGTAGGAAATAAAAGGCAGAACTTTCAGATGCTATAACGCCTTCGATATAGCTGTGAATTGGGTGATTCTTGAGCCTAACCTCAAGGATTTTTCGAGATGAACAACCTTTTGTGAAACGTCACTACCCCAAAAACTGACCAGAAGTGCCCGAAAATTGTTTTCAAAGATGAACGGGATGATTTGTGTAAAATTGAGGAGAAAAAAAGAAGAGAATTGGTGTGAAAAATGTGAGAGGTATGAAGGGGTATTTATAGGCTAGCTCATGCAATAATTATGGTAGGAAAATGTAGGAAGAATTATGGTAAGTAGGGTTTAAGGGATTACTTGGAGAAGTGAGTAAAGATTTAAGGACAGTTTTGATATTTGAATGCATTGTGTATAATTGAACATGGAAGGTATGTATGTCATGGAAAATATTGAGGAAATTGGGATTTCTTGGGGAATAATTAAGAAGAATGAATGGCAAGAAAATATAATAATTGGATATCAAAAAGATGGAGAATTAGAATTATGGAAAATAAGAGATTTAAGGGAGATAATTAAAAATACGAATTACCAAAATATTTTCCCAAAATCTTTATGGGATGGCCGAAATTATTGAGCTTTCCTAAGCTCATATTTTCGGCCTTCCTATTTAGTATTTAGGAATATATTTTGATAGTTTAAAGGAATTAAAAATAATTGTGTAAATAATATTTATTGTAATAAATAATTAAATAATAAAATACCAAATATTCACCAAATAATTTAAATAATAAAATCAGATTTTATACATAAGAAAATCTGAAATTATTAGCTAAATAAATGGGATTTTCAGACTTATTATAATAATAATAAAATATAGCTTTTGCCTTAATTAAAATATCTGAAATATAAATAATCAAGTTTTTAAAATAGGATAAATGTATAATAAATCTTATCCAAAATAATGATTAGTTTTCAAAATACTTTTGGCGCCAAAATTCAAATATTATTTTGGCTCCAAGATTTAAATAGTAATTTGAATTACTAAAATACCCTTTATAGAAAATAATAATTAATTAGGAAAATGTGTATGAAAATACGGGGTATTACATCAGAAGAACAAGGCTGCGTTTTGCTACGTTGCATTTAGTGAAACATGCGTTTTGGGTTGTTGCATCTACCTCTACATGCACAAGCATATAGCTAAGTATATGCGTAATTTTCCCTCATTTTTTTTTGCTAGCAATGCCATGTCAATTTCTCATTGGAAGTTTATGTTTACCCCACATAAACCAAGTTAATGTGTAGCATCTCTCAATCTCTCATAGTTTTAATTGGATTATACAGTACTTCATAACAATGCTCAATGAGTGCAGTTTTGTCTTATTAAAGTTATTATAATTTTCACTTACAAATAAGGAAACAATAACAATTAGTGGTATTCTTCAAAATTTATTTTTTTGATGTACTCTTACAATTCTTTTTAAGATTCATTGTTTCTAATTTTAGTAAGTGTGTATGACTCAAAACATTAACACGTCATTGCATACAACTAATATAAGCATTGTGTTAACCTTGGAGAAGAATCCGCAAATAAATTTAACATTCTGGTCACACCAACTATTGTTTACTAAATTCCGCCACAACACATCATCAAAATTTTTTTTGTTCTTTATCCATTTTCTTATAGTACTGAAATTTCATACGGAACATTTCTTACATCACATACACCAAAAATGAACACAAATCATTATCGATTCATTACAATATTGTGCATACCCAAAAAAGATAGTTGTCTCACACAAACACAATTACACATCCGTAAAAGGAGAAAGTACCGAAACTCTTTCGTCAAAACCGCCAAACACAAATCTCTATAACTCAAAATATTCTCTCTTACACAAAAACTAAAAAAAATAAAATAAAAATAAAATGAAGGAGTTTCAAATTCTAGCTCTTTTCTTAGCTGTGTTCACATTTGTAAGCTCAAGCTTTGGTGATGTTGCTACAACTAGTAATTACGCCAACATTGGTATTAATGGTGTTAATTACGGGATTAGCATCCTTAATCGTACCACTTTTCCTCCAGCTTTTCTATTTGGCTCAGCTTCTTCTGCTTACCAGGTTATTGATTACCCCACTTTTTTTTTTTTTTTTTGCCAATATCTTGTTTTATTTTCAATATAATGTTGTTAATTAATGTTTAAAATTGTTTAAGTATGTGTTATTATAATAGGTTCTTCATTTTCATACTTGGAAATGAAAATTAAAGATATAATTTTTTTTTTAAAACATTTTGAAATGGGGTTTTAATTAATTTTTTTTATTGGTTTAAATGATTTATGTTTCTATTTGTAAAAATGTAAATTTATGATTTAGTGTGTTTTTTGTGCAGTATGAAGGAGCAGCTAAAGAAGATGGAAAAGGGCCTAGTACATGGGATACATTTACCCACAAATTTCCTGGTTGGTTTTTTCTTTTTTTCAATTTTTTTTTTAAATCAATTATTTTTTATGTTCTTGGATGGTAACCAAAATTTTAATTATTTGTGTATATCATATATGTATGATAAATACGAGGACTTATAAAGAAGAATGATGTAGACGAGATTCGATTCGACTCTATTCAAGTAATGTATAATGTACATTGAAGGTTTGTTTAAGGTTATTATTGGTGATAATGTATGCAGGAAAGATAGCTGACGGAAAGAATGGGGATGTGGCAGTTGATTCATACCATCGCTATAAGGTTTGGATCCTTTGCTTGCAAACAACTCGTATGATCACAATTTTAATGTGGTTATTTAATTTTTTTTTAAATTTTTAATTTTTTTTTTTTCATATTTTTTTTTTGGTTGAAATGCAGAATTCATGTGTATTAGTATGACTACCATACCCCTCAAAAAAAAAAAAAAAAGTATGACTACCATACATAGATTCCCCGGAAAAAAATAAATAAAAGATTGAATTTGAAAAAAAATGAACTTTTCCCCATTCATTGTAGTTAATTTTGGCATGTACACAGAATATTAGGTTCTTTGTAAAACTTAATTTTCTCTACCTTTGTTTCAAAAAAAAAAAAGAGTAATGGTTATGGTTTGAATTTTAACATCACTCAAACTCTGCTTTGACCATCATTTTTATGATTTATATATAAAAAAAAAAAAATCACGTGGGATCTTGTTGTATTCATCAATTATGTTTTCAAAATATATATTGGCAAACGTAAAAAGTTAAATTGTAGTCGTTATTTTGTAATGGTGGGAGTAGTTACAATTCGTAGAATCAATAGATGCACTAGTTTATCTCAAATTGGAATGGATGGCTGGATTCTTGTCCAACCTTCTCGTCCTCTCTTTAGACTCCAAGAAAGCAACGTTGTTTGAAATTTTTTATCTTAATTGTCATTTTGTAGGAAGATGTGAAGATCTTAAAGGAAATGGGACTAGATGCTTACAGGTTTTCAATTTCGTGGCCCAGATTATTGCCTTGTATGTCATCTCTCTGCTAGATTATACATTTAGAAAGCATTAACTTGTACATTTGAGTGGAGTTTAAGCTGTCATTGTTGTAAATGGCTGCAAATTAGGGATGGACGATACCCAAACTGTTGTTTTGAAACAATCTAGCTATGTTAGTATCAAAACATTCAGTCTGTATAAAAGGTAAAGGCAAGCTTTTGATGGACTTTATCTGCACTTGTTTGTTACATTTCTGCCACCATATTGTGTCGTTTATAAAAATATAAGCCCCAAGAACTTGGTCTCCATACTGTACTTTTCTTGATAAAGTTATAGAACACTTATTGATGATTACTTAAGCTCTAGATCCAACTATGGCTGAATCCTTGTAAAATTCAAGTCGAATTATTTGGTCCAAAGATCTATGACTTGTGTCTTAAAACTTTTGGTTTTTGATAAATCCTTGTAAGAATAAGTGAAATTTTAGCTACTTTTCTCTTTAAATTCTCAAACTGACATTGATTCTCTTTGGATACTTGGATAATTTTCAGATGGAAAAGTAAGCAAGGGTGTGAACAAGAAAGGAATAGCCTATTACCACAACCTTATCGATGAACTTTTGGCGAATGGTTAATATTTTGTCACACTCTTTGTTACTCCTTTGTATGTTATATTATATGCGACATTGTGATTATTTTGTTGCTACATCATGGCAGGCATACAACCATTCATCACCCTTTTCCATTGGGATCTTCCTCAGTCATTGCAAGACGAATATGGTGGTTTTATTAGCCCTCAAATAGTGTAAGTTATTAACTTTGTAGAAATCTTACAAATTTTGTCATAGTGGTTAACACTGGTTCATTACTAGAATTGATCTTCTCATAGCATAATGTAAATATGCTTAATTGTAAGACATACACATACTTCATTTTTTAGTACTTATTTTAGCCCTTTTCAGTTATTTTTGAGTAGTTGGTAATTTGGAATCATATCAGTAGAAAGTGAAGGTTGGCTTTGTTTTAATCCAATGTTCAACTCAATGAGAGTTGAGTATGTAGTAATAGATGTTGGAAAAATTAAATTGTAGTTGGTTAAGATTAGGGCCTACTCTCTTACGTTGAAATTTAGCTCAGTTCAGTTCAGTTCAACTCCTAATTTCCTTCTCTTATAAAATATTCAGTTCAGCTCAGTTCAGTTCAACTGAGTTCAGTCAATGAGAACAGACCCTTAGTCTTGAATGGAGAGAAAATTAAGTTAATTAACTATATAAATGAATTGTTAATCCTTGTATAGAATGCTAAAACGTATAATAAAAAAGAACAAAGGTATACATATAATATTGTGGAAATTTTGATAATCGAAATACGTTTAATCAATCTCAAAGTTGTCTACCAGTTTTAAGACATTATTACCTTGATCCCTTTGACTTGGGGCATTTCATCAGCTTATTGCATCTAATAGTTTTCTTTTTATGTATATTTGATGTGTTACATATTGTTTTACTGGACAGGGGTGATTTTCAGAACTATGCAGACCTCTGTTTTAGAGAGTATGGTAACAAGGTGAAGCATTGGATTACACTCAATGAGCCATTGTCCTATAGTACAGGCATTTACTCAACTGGGGTCTTTTCGTCCAAGCAGTGTTCTACATTAAACCCCCTGAAGTGCAATATTGATTTAGCCACTGACCCTTACAAAGTTGCGCATTACCAGATTCTTGCTCATGGTGCAGCTGTTCAAATTTATAGACAGAAATATCAGGTCTTACTTCATATATCCTGAACTTTTCCAATGGGTATAAGTGTTGGTATTTGAACTTTTAACATTTTAAAAATACTAAAAAACTGATGTGCATTCTATTATATACTATATGCATTGCTTCCCTTTTGCTTAAAAGTGGATATAGTTTTTATTCTTTCCGATCTTTGTTTGAGGGGTAGGTTGATTTCAGAGCATGTTGGTAAGGTTATTATTTTGGTAAGAAACAGATTCAATTAAACCATTACAATTACGGCATTACCAAGTGTTTGGTTAGAAGGTTTGGGTAAGAAGGTTTCAGTAAAACCTAGGGGTAATGGTTTCCATCTGTTTGATTTGTTACCTCTCTAAAACCTAAGGTAACAATAACACTTACCCTCCTCAAACAAAAAAAGAGTAGTCAAGTTTGAGCAATTCATTTCCATAGTTTAACCAAACAAATGAAAATTTTAATGGTTCCTTTCCCCCGTCTTATTTGTTTCCTTTCCATTCTGTTTCCAATGCTTGTACCAAACTCCCTTACAAATTGTATTGTCAGAGGTTTGAGTTTCTTTGGGTTGTAAGAGATAAACTTGTTTTATGATTCCACAATTTTTTTTGTTTATTGTCCTTTGATTATGGGTCTGTGAGTCTGTCTCTTAGTTTGCCACAGCCCTTGTTGGCAAAACTTGGGTAATCCTTTGCTTTACTTACCACTCAAATCACAAGTGAAAATAGCGAATTCACGACACCTTTTAATTTGAATTTGGTAGGATATATACAAGATAATCTTATCCTAAACTTCAGCTGAATTTTTTATTACTCATCTTATGTTTGGTTCTATTAGCTGCCTGATCAATAAGTAACATAGGAAAAAAGACGTGATGTAAGTTAATATGCTAAGATTATTGATGTATATGATCAGATGCAGATAAAGTGCATGTATTGTAGGATTTCTGAGCTAAGATTAGTATATATGATCAGACGCAGAAAAAGTGCATGTATTGTAGGATTTCTGAGCTATATATAACTTCTTTTGCATACCACAGGCATCCCAAAAAGGTGTAATAGGCGTTGCTTTGAATTCAAATTGGTTCATCCCCTTTTCTCAAGCTAAGCAAGACCGAAGTGCGGCACTTAGAGCTGTTGACTTTATGTTTGGATGGTGAGTATGTAAGTTAGTGAAGAATGGATTACTAATCTAGTTTCTACTTGATTTAAGATATTTTTTCTGAAATTGTTGATTACAAGCTGGAGGTTTCTTGAGTTTTTATTATGGACTCCAAAGAGTCCAAACTCAATGTATTGCTTTTAATCCTATGAATGTTCCATCTTTGATAGGTACATGGACCCTATGACATATGGTGACTACCCACATACGATGCGCTCTCTTGTTGGCGGTCGATTGCCTAAGTTTTCAAGGGAGCAGTCTAGCCAGATAAAGGGTTCATTTGATTTCATTGGATTAAATTATTACACTAGCAGCTACACAGCATATGCTCCTAGTTTCAGGAATGGAAAACCTAACTTTAATACTGATTCTCTCATCAATATAACATGTAAGTCCATCAAACTGTTTCCTATTTGAGATTTTGCATAAGACCACTAAGTGTAACTCACTTATGTTTTAAACTTCTTTCTACAGCGGAACGTAACGGAATACCAATTGGTCCAAGGGTATGTGCATGACTATCAAAAAATATCAGGAAGCCTTCTGCAATATGCAGAGATTTCTTATGATCAAGTTTTTTGTGCTGCCTTTTTTATCTCAATTTTTTCTCAAAATTCTTTTGCAGGCTGCTTCAGATTGGCTATATATTTATCCAAGAGGAATTTTTGATCTTCTACTCCATATAAAGAAAAGATATAGAAATCCAATCATTTACATCACAGAAAATGGTGAGTCATATTTTGTTTGGTGTTTTCTAACTCAGTCTATTTTTCAAGTGAATTTGGTTTAAGGAATCAGCAAGGGGATGATTTATTGCTAGATATAGGCAATAATATTTTTCAATTAGCCAAATTGACATTTTTCTCTTACTGATTGTTCCTAATAAACTTTTTTACATTTTTGCGATGGCCTTGTTTCTGCATAAACCAACATTAATATGAAAATATATGTGATTTGTAGGCTGTGATGAGTCAAATGATGCCAGATTGTCTCTTAAGGAAGCTTTGAGTGACGGCATGAGGATACACTACTACCATGATCATCTAGCCTTTGCACAACTTGCTACTAGGTAAGTTAATGCTTCTTCGGAAGTTTCTTATCTCTTCGTATTCTTACAAGGTCTACTTTTCAATATTTTAAGGTTCCCCCACCCCCTCCCCTTTCAGCTTCAGTTTTGTTTGCATGAGAAAGGCTTTACTTATAACTCTCCTTCGATGGTTATCCACTAGTAGAAATGATGAACCAACTGTATGTGCTCACACATGCATGATTTTTATGATCTCTTTTCTGTACAATCTATGAAATTTATTGACATAATCCCATGTTTATAGTGCCCGCAATTATGTCAAAGTATTGTAGTACTTGCATATCTTGCAACGCTATTGAGGAAAAAAAAAAAAAAAAATATTCCGAGTAAAGCAATACATTAAACTCCTACTGCAGTTACACTTGACCTCTTTATCTATTTAATAAGTTATACTTAAGTCTAGCATTCCACTTTTACAAATTTATTTAATTATCCTTGCCCATCATTAATATTCCTCTGTTAAGTATCAGCTGTCGCAATTTGAGCTGAAACATAACAACGGCTTGATAAACAATGGCATGGAAGTTTCAGCTGTCACAATTTGAAAAAGCTAAAAGGGTAGTATTAAATCAGAGAAAAAATTGACTATAACATGAAGGTGAAATTGATGAGTTTGCTTCCAAATGTAGAAAGTATCAAATATCATTGGACATCCTGTGCAAAACAAACAAAAATCCCATCATGAACAAAAATTTGCAGTTTCTAAAATTTGGATAATAACCCCCCCCCCCCCTTCTCCTTCAAATTCTTTTCCTTCATCATTTGAAGGAAAATCCTGAATTTGTTTGTTAATCAAAGCATTAGTTCCTTGTATAACAACTAATTGTGGGTGTAAATTCCAAACTTTGGCAGGTTTGCTGTTAGATTGAAAGGATACTTTGCTTGGTCATTGTTGGACAACTTTGAGTGGGGCTCTGGTTATACTGTTCGTTTTGGCATAAACTATGTCGACTACAACAATGGACTGAAACGATACCCCAAGCATTCCGCTATATGGTTCAAGAATTTCCTTCGCAAATAAAACACGTCCTGTACCTTCTAAAACTTTTACATTTTAGTTTCTTCTTGTTCCTTTGGCTACATAACTTGTTCAGATGTTCTTTGCAAGGACTTTGTTGCAATGTATTGCTCATTTCTGACTATTAGTCTTTATTTCATCAATGATAAAATATTGATCCATCTTAGAGAACACAATGTTTAAAAGAACAACATTGTGCTAGCCTAAACTCTGAATAGTATGGTTGGCAGCTGCAACATAATTGCAACTCGATTTGCTTCACGAAAAATATATTGCATTCTATGAATGCTAGACGTGTCGCAAGACTCCATCAGGCATCTGATGTGCTTAACATCAATATTGTCTCTGAAGTTCATATTTCATTTTCATCTCCATGTGTTATTATGGTCCAGCCATTGATTTATTGATACTATCCTTATTTGGAGGGAGGGGCTAGAAGGTGGTAATCATAGTGTCTATTAATGACAACAAAAGCTTAGTCAGGGATCTCAAATTCAGTCTCTATTTTTTGGTTAAAATTATGAAATATCATGCTTTTAGCACTAATTCTGTAGCTGAGTAATTCCTGCTATTTTCAGTCCTTTATTCAATTATGAATTTCTTTCCGTATATGCATAGTTGCATACTACTGTTTTCATGATTTCCAATATTGAGCTCCCCATGACTTAGGGATAGCTTAAGTGGTTAGAGCTACTCTCTTGGTTTTAATATATATATATATATATATATATATATATATATATATATATATATATATATATATATATATATATATATATATATATGGTCAAATGAGAAGTTCCTTAAAATGAGAAGGATTTTTTGTGTGTATTTTTTGAACTAAATGTGGCAAAAAAAAAAAAAAAAAAAAAATACTCAAATTTGATGTGCATAATTTTCGTTTTTTTAGAAAATTAAAAAATTTTAATCAGTTTGAAACACAATTATGCACATTCATTATTAATAAAATGAATATTTAGTATGAAATATATGCACATTTGTTCCTTCTCATCCTTCTTATTCTGAGATCTTTCTCATTGGATCAATGAGAAGTTTCTTAAAATGAGAAGGATGAAATATGCAAAAAAAAATTCACTAAATGTGCATATTTTTTTTTTTATAGTAAACTAGTGTGTAGCCCGGGCGTTGCACCGGTTGTTACTTTAATTAGACCTTGTGATTATCAATTATATACATTTATTAGACTTTGTGATTATCAATTATATACATAACTTATGATTGACTTAAATGGTTAAGTAACTCTCTTTCTTAGAAAAGGTTGGGTGTTTGAATTCCCTTATCATCTTTTTTTTTTACATTTAGTTTATGCACATATAATCCTTCTCATTATAATAAACTTTTCATTTAACCCTAAATCTATATATGATGTGTAAATGTAACGTTTTAATTAAGACAAATTATGTATTAATATAGTGATTTAAATTCAGGCACCAAACTTGTTAAAATAGGTTACTCTTGTCATTCTGACACAACACTTGTTTGTTTTTTATTGGTTTACATTACAATATTATATAATGTCTTTATCTAAAATTAATTGTTATGTTGATAGTGTGATCTAAACTAAGATGTGACAGCTAAATTAGAACAATGGTAATACAGAGTTATATGTACACATTATTAACGTCACAAATTAACAATTAATTTATTTGGAATTTGGTCCTCTCATATTTTAAGTAATCAAAGAGCAACAAGAAATAAATTTGGCCCCTTAATATATCTTTTAATAACGTTAATAACAATATACCCTTTAAATAACGTCACAAATATGATGTACGGAGTACGGACTACTATAGAATACGTTAATATTTCCTCTGTTCTTTTTTACTTGACCTATTTTTTTTATCACGCTTGTCAATGTAAAACTTTAACGATCAATAACTTAAATTCCCCATAAGTAAAAATTATATAAGTTATATATAATGATATTACTTATTGAGAAGAATCCAAAAACATTTTACATGAATATATTTTTCCTTACATATTATTCACAAAAGACGGTCAAAGGAGGGGTGGTGAATATTGTAAAAGTCAAAGCGGGTCAAATAATAAAAACGGAGGAAGTAGTGCATATGAAAATTTATTCTTTACATTAACAATTAATTTGGTCCATCAAAATATGATAGCTGGCATTAATTAATTTTATATACTGTCTTTGTTCAAAATTAGTGTGATTTATATTAAGATCATAGAATGTGACAATTAATATATAACGTACGAGTAGTATATACACTAAAAAAGGTCAATATAATTTATTCTTTACATTAACAATTAAATTGGTACATCAAAATATGAAAGCTCGCATTAATTAATTTTATATACTGTCTTTATTCAAAATTAGTGTGATTTATATTAGGCAAAAGCTAATGAGCGCCCCCGGGGCGTTAGATAAGAGAATTAAAGTGCAAATATTAGAATAAAATTAACATTAATTACACCGAACGACGCGTGATTTTGTCATGAATTCCTAACTTAATACCATTTCAACCAATATAATTTATCCTTATCTAACGCTTCGGGGCGTTCGTTAGCAATATCCTTTATATTAAGATCATAAAATGTGACAACTAAATTCATATATACAACGTTAATAACGTAGCATATAACTATATACACTAAAAGGTCAATATAGTACCCTTTTACGTTTTTTTTTTCCGAAACGCGTAAAATACATCAATAGTTTACTTCAAAATGCCAATTATTAGCCTGTCATTCATAATGTACGAAAGGTTACAACTTACAATGTACAACAGTAAATGGGGACTTCTCATATGTTCTTTAGCAATTAAAAGGGGATCATTTCAAGAGATTTTCAACAGAATTACTGAGATACTTACGTTATTGGAAAAAAGTTTGTTATAAATAATGTGGTATATGCATTTTCAATAATGCAAGTAACAAATGTTTTTTTGTAACATTAGTTTGATAATGTTCAACTTTTACTGCATGCACATAACTGTATAAGAAGGCAACATTAACAAGGGAATAAAAACTTAGGCATTAATTCAAGTGTATAATCATGAGAGTAGATGTTCAAACACATGTTTTCCTTGTCCAACTACTGGTACTCGTCCTTTTTATGCTTGGACACTCCAATGGTGCCCCTGAAATCGATGTCATTCGAGCCGATTATGGGATTGGTGCACTCAATCGGAGCAGTTTTCCTGCAGGTTTTGTTTTCGGGAGTGCTTCATCGTCGTATCAGGTGAGTTAGAGCTACATCTCTTTCTCTATAAACAGTATGAATGTCATGAAAACTTATTACATTGTGGAAAATGTTGAAAGATAAACAATAATTGTGTTTGAGACCTGTTTTTCTTTAACAGTATGAAGGTGCAGCTCATTTAGATGGTAAAGGCCTGAGTATATGGGATACTTTCACTCATAAATTTCCAGGTTTTATGTTGTGTCCCTTTTTAGCATTCGATTGCTTTTGTTCTACATCGATCCAATCTTTATACTACCTCTGTTACAGGTTATATGCAACGATTAGACATTTCCCCTCTCTGTTTTATGTCAAATCGTTGCACATAACCTGTAACGGAGGTAGTACATGTTTTGTTTAGTTATTAGCATAGTTGAATTGTTGTCCTGGTCTTTATTTGTTAACTAGAAGACAAAAGAAGAATGCTTTGTGTAAAATCCTATGTAATCTAAAATGTTGTTGATTAATGTATGTTCCTTGTGTAGATAAGATCAAAGATCGAAGTAACGGTGATGTGGCTATAGACTCATACCATCGCTATAAGGTAGCTTCGAGTGTTGCTCAACTTAGATAATGAAGCAAATGGCTATTAATAAATGTGTTAACATCATGAAGCAAATGGCTATTTTGTAGGAGGATGTAAAAATCCTGAAGCAAATGGGATTAGATGCCTATAGATTTTCAATTTCTTGGTCACGGATATTACCTTGTACGTAATGTATCACACCCTTTTCTTGATTTGATTTCCAAATCATGTATATCATACAATCCTACAGATTTTTCATTCTGAACTGCATAATCTGATGACTGAACAGATGGAAAATCACGCAGAGGCGTGAACCAGAAAGGATTAGCATACTATCACAACCTTATTGATGAGCTAATAGCGAATGGTGAAAGAATTCATACCTCAATCTTTTTTCAAAGCTTTCTCAATTTTCTCGTGCTGTAATTAGTAAGCTGATCTTTTTTGCAATGCTGCTGATTATATTTTTTGTATTGGTAGGTATAAAGCCCTATGTGACTCTCTTCCATTGGGATCTCCCACAAGCATTGGAAGACGAGTATGGTGGTTTCCTCAGTCCTTATATCGTGTAAGTTATTTTCTGAGTGGCCAGGCATGATTGATTTCTACCTTTGGACAACTTACAGACAAAAAGGATCGGATTTTATATACCTATGCCCAAGCCATATATGTTCAGCTTTTCCCATACATTAGCTAAGAAATTCAACATTTAAAGAACGAAAATTTCAATCCTTGTCACAATCTTGCAGGGATGATTTTAGGGATTATGCAAATGTTTGCTTCAGGGAATTTGGTAACAAAGTGAAGCATTGGATTACATTAAATGAACCTTGGACCTATAGTAATGGTGGGTATGCGTATGGGATTTTGGCTCCTGGACGATGTTCAAAATGGCAACAGCTTAACTGTACTGGTGGAGATTCATCTACTGAACCGTACTTGGTTACTCATCACCAACTTCTTGCTCATGCAGCAGCAGTGGATTTGTATAGGCGTAAATATCAGGTTTATAAATTTTTACTGCTCTATACTTGCTTGAATTATATAAGCCAACTTTACATTAAATATGTCCTGTAAGTCATAACTTTTTTAGTTGTGCAATTTCATAAATGACTTGATTGATCAGTAGCACTTTTTATTTTGCATTTCAGCTTATTGGACTTGTATAACTATCTAACTGTCCTTGCATTTTTAAATCGCTTCAAAATAATGTATCTTAGCATGATCAACAACATTTTGTCACATGATCAAAGAAAAATTCTCTGACCTGTTATCTGATTACCCTGTTATGATCATAGGTTTCTCAAAAGGGTGTAATCGGTATTACTCTAGTGGCAACTTGGTTTGTTCCACTGTTTGAAGTACAACGCCATCAGTTTGCAGCAATGAGATCACTCGACTTCATGTTTGGATGGTGAGCTGTGTGTCGATTAAAACTTGGATCCTTCGCTGAATCTACATTCTCTAGCACCCATTTCAATTTTGATCTTGTTCTATTATATATCATACCAGGACATTTTAAATCTATCTTTGTTCGAGCATAGAAATGGGATCTCATATTGGAAAGGTTGCATACAGGTTTATGGATCCAATCACGAAAGGTGAATATCCACATACCATGCAGTCCCTTGTAAAAGTCCGGTTGCCTAAATTTTCTGCCGAGCAGTCTAGGATGGTGAATGGATCCTTTGATTTTCTGGGTTTGAATTATTACACTGCTAATTATGCAGCTTATTCTCCTGACCTGAAGCAGGCAAAACCCTCTTACATTACTGATCCTATTGTCAGACAAACAGGTATGTTTATAGTCTTACAGAATGTTCTGATGTAACTCCTACATAAATCAAGAAAAACTCGTTACATTTTTCAGCAATTGCTAAGTAATCACGAAGCTTTTCCTGGTTTTTACTTTTTACTACGAGTAATATGGGTTGTTTTCTTGCAGTGAAGCGAAATGGAATTCTAATTGGTCCAAAGGTATACGAGTGATTCCTCAGTAACTCGAAATTTCTTATTTATGAATTATACATGTCTTTCGCTTAAATCTAAAGTATCATACCTGATCCCAGTTCTTGGTCCGGGATGCCCCCCAAAAGGGTTGTTTCCTTGACTTAAAGGGTAGTACTCCGTAACATTGTTCATTTTGCCCTTCTCATTCTGCAGGCTGGTTCAGATTGGCTGTATGTTTATCCACGAGGAATTCGAGATCTTTTGCTGTATGTGAAGAGAAAATATAACAACCCTTTGGTTTATATAACAGAGAATGGTGGGTTGAGCACTATTATATTGCACCCTTTTTTTTCTCTATAACTCAAGTGTGAGGCAGAAATTTAAATGATCATACTCAAAACTGTCAGCCTCCTCTTTTTGCAGGTGTTGACGAGGCTAACAATAACAGTTTGTCACTTGAGGAAGCACTTAGTGATAAAATGAGGGTGCAATACCACCATGATCATCTTGCTTTCTTAAATCTTGCAATTAAGTAAGTGATTTGAATTATTTCTTGATAGAGGGACATAGATGATTTCATTCTACAGCGAACATGTTTAATTTTCTGATAAATGATACTTGTAGAATCGTTCACTCTTCATCCAACTCTTTAGAGTTCACGAAATCACGAGTTTAACTAGATTCAATCTCAATCTATCCATTTTTTGAGGGGTGTTATGTTCGGTCTAGACTGAGGCCAACTTTTTTCCAGCTCAAAGTGTGGTTTTCCTATGTTCAGCTCTAGGCTTAACTCATAAAAGAACAAAGGAATCCCTTAGGCCTTACATAGGTACCAATGCAATTATTATCATTACTGATAGTTCCCTCAAAGATAATAATTGCATTGGCACCTACTTGTTCTTATAGAATCTAGTGATTGATTGCAGTGATTTTGGATTGTAGGGAAGGTGTTAATGTGAAGGGCTATTTTGCTTGGTCATTGTTGGACAACTTTGAATGGTACTCCGGTTCTACTGTCCGATTTGGGATCAACTATGTGGACTACAAAGACGGGCTAAAATGATACCCTAAACTTTCTGCTCTCTGGTTCAATAAGTTCCTGCAAAAGAGGATACATTAAGGCCATTCAAGCAAAAAGAAAGTTGAATAAACTGTGAAGTCATACTCCTGAATGTCCTAATGGCTGCCCGGCAGGTTATCTTAGTGTCTATTATAATCTCTCTGTTCGGAACTGATTGTCATTTTGATGGTATAATTTTAAAAAATTGTAAAATAAAATCCTGACCGAGATTATAAATTCAAACAATTGTGTGGTTCAATTAAACAAAAGTTTAGTGGGTGATGACTGATTATTGCTTGCTTCATCATTGTAATTATTTAGTTGTGATTTAAAATCTTTCAATTATTGTTTCCAAAGCGTTTTATCTAAAGCTCTTTCTACAACTAGGATAACAGTGAAGCCAATGCGAACCCTAAAAATTATCTATGTCCAAAATTTCACCTAACAGAACCATCTCCATATAAACACATGTAATGGTGCTCAATTGTTTGAGCCGAGGACGCCTGTCATGGACTACTATCACTGCAGCATGGTGACTAATAACCATAGATGTACAACCCTCCTATAGCTGTATGGGCTGCATACAACATACTGCATTTAAGTCACGATAGAAGACATTCATATGTAATCACAACATAATTCATCTGTCAAGAGTTTTCTTGTAGATTTCTGTAACCAATTTGTTTTTTATTGCAAGTTTCTTGAAACCTAACCTTCTCAAACAACACATGCAAGTGTCAACTGAAACCTTAAAGGCATTTGGTGAATTTTCATTCCTTCAAACACCGACAAGTTTATCTGCTTAATGTCAAATTAGGGTTTTAGGGTACGATGAAGGAACCAATCTATAAGACAGGTATAAAGGGAAATGTTGACAGGTTGGTCATGTAATTTAACTCTCTTTCCTTAAGTTAAACTTCAGGATTTCAAAAAATAATAAGGGAATCTGATGAATGTCAGTCACCAAACAACACATGCAAGTGTCAATTGAAACCTTAAAGGCATTTGGTGAATTTTCATTCCTTCAAGCGCCGACAAGTTTATCTGCTTAATGTCAAATTAGGGTTTTAGGGTACGATGAAGGAACCAATCTATAAGACGGGCATAAAGGGAAATGTTGACAGGTTGGTCATGTAATTTAACTCTCTTTCCTTAAGTTAAACTTCAAGATTTCAAAAAAATAATAAGGGAATCTGATGAATGTCAGTCACCAAACAACACATGCAAGTGTCAATTGAAACTTTAAAGGCATTTGGTGAATTTTCATTCCTTCAAACGCCGACAAGTTTATGTGCTTAATGTCAAATTAGGGTTTTAGGGTACGATGAAGGAACCAATCTATAAGACAGGTATAAAGGGAAATGTTGACAGGTTGGTCATGTAATTTAACTCTCTTTCCTTAAGTTAAACTTCAGGATTTCAAAAAATAATAAGGGAATCTGATGAATGTCAGTCACCAAACATGGAGGGAACAACATATGAAGAAAACTTCATAATCATCAAACTCAGCACAAGCCCTATAGCCGAGCTGTACACAGCTTTCATGATATTGAATGTTCTTTCCATGAGCTTCATCAGTTGAGTATTTTTCCATCTTACAAATGACCAGATTTTCAGTGTAAAAATACGCTAGATCTAAAGCGCAGTCAATTCCTTCTCAAAAGTGTAGGCATGATTTCATGTATATTTACCCCTAAGAGAGCCCTCAAAACACTAAATGGAGCACCCAAAAAAACTGGCTCACATCTCTGAGATACTATCTCCTGAAGTTAGACATGTTGCAGGATCCAAAAAATCAGGTTCAAAGAATAAATGTGACGGTCTCTCAAGGAGGAGGCTAAAGGGAAGGGTTTGATTTTCCTCGTATAAACTGCTTGAGCATGGCCTTTTCTTCATCTATTTGCTTCTTTTCATCTCTATTCCTGGGTTTGACCTTTCTTTTCTCATCCAGTATCCACTTGAAGATCTCTCGTTGCTGATCCTCAGTAATTGGCTCATGCACCTTCACAAGCTCTGCAATCGGGGTAACAGGTGGATATTCTGGCTCCACACTTTCATCAGTAGAAAGTACATCCACTGCAGCTGGTGTTGCTGGTACAATTGGCTGCCCATAAAAATTAACTGCCGGTTCACTTGTCTGTGCAGGAAGTGCAAGCTCTGCAGTTGGGGTTGCTGTTGCATATTCTGGCTTCTCCACAGAAGTGACTGTTGGTGCACTTGTAGCAGGAGGCGGAGCTTCTTCATGCTTTTCACTTTTCGAACTTCCATCTTTCTTTTTTGACATTCCAAAGATATAAGCTGCACCGTTGGGTTTGTCTTATAAGTGACAATTGATCAAACTCATAGTTCAAAGCATAACTTGATGAATTCACTTCACAAATGAATTCTTTCATAATTGCACCAAACATAACATGCACCAAAAAAGAAGGGGAGCAAGGGCAATGAGGGCTGGAAATAGGCAAAAATAATATTTCCAGGAATTGGAATCAGATAGGAATTGTCTGATCTATGATGTTAATTTATTAAAGTGCAAACTGCTTTTTGGACAAGGACTAAGCAATAGTGGCAGTCTAAACTGCTTGTTTTGAATGCCATTTATCTCAATATCCACAAGCCAGGTACGAGTACTTTGGTCCAGAATCTCCAGATAAAAGAATGACCAAATCAAATCAGTTTAAACTACTGTATTCATCAATAAAGATCTTAGAAATGGGCAAAGGTATTGGATCAAAGAAGAAACATCTTGAATGGACAGGTAAGACTATCTTCTCAACATCTATACTTGTAGATGCTGTAAAAAAACATTGGTGACACAACTGCTCCTATAAGTTATGTGAAGCAGAAATCGTTGATGACACTTACAACGGTTACAAGTCATATATTAAATCAAAATCAAGTCATAGAGGATCATCAAACTACTATATAGCCAGGCAAGTTCATCAGTGGACAGCTAGAACAAGATAAAGCTGTCACAACACAATATTACAAGCATTATAAAAAGCTAACCATGTTAGGTAGCTCTTTAAAGACTTCAACCAAATTTTACTCTCACAATTTGTAAGGACTTATAACCCTGCTTGCAAGCTCTTTAACCAGCATGAAAATCAAAAGCAGTTAAGGCTTATGTGATCAACTCACGAGCAACAAATTAACAAGCAACAAAAGTTGAGCAATCAAATTTTCATCTTTCCCTATCCCTCAGCCTTATGTAGAAGTTGAAAATGCAAGATTCTTGACTTCAACAACATTGGTCATCAATCTATAATACTCGTCAATTGAAGTAGTAACAAAAATGCTAATTAATGTTGAGTAATGACTCAGCTCAGGTTTTCACATTCCCCTGCACATTATCCACAAATGCATGCCTAGTAATAATCGACTACCTCAATCTTGCATCCTTTTCATCTCTACCATACATAAAACAGAATTATCCTTATAGAACTCAGCAATAACATAACACCAGTGTTTACATAAAAGTTTCTGCCGATAAAATCAACTCTCCAGCCTTCACCATTAGATTATGAAGTCAATACACTCATCGATGCAAATCGTATTAATTCTAGCTATAACTACCCAGCCGCTGAATCAAAGAACATTAGAATTCTCGCTATTAAACATTCATGTTAAAGATTCACACCCCATCTGGTTCAAAAGTAATCTTGAAGACAAAATGAGATTAACCCATTCCTCAGATTCATAAACATTCTAAACTATTTAACTTCAAATTCAACCCATACCCTAAATTTCCTATTCCCCCCTCTTTTACAGTTCTTCAGTTCATCAATGTAGCAAATTAAACCCTTCTAATACAAACCCACTATAAAAATCTCATTCCCATGTTTCCCTAAACCCAAGAAAATCACACTAAACACCAGAAAACCCTAATAAAACTACGTATAAATTATAAACAGAATCCTCTTTCTGATTCCATTACCCATTTCGAAGTATCTCGGGCACTAAAAATACAATTATCCAAATTGGGGCAAGAAAAATGCGATTAAAATTGCAATAATCAGAAGAAATAACAAGAAATTAAGCAATGGAATTGAAAAAATGTAGTACAAAATCAGCAAATTAGAGCAGAGTTGAGATTAATAGCAAAAAAAAAATGCAATAAAGGGAAGAGAAAGAAAGAAAGTGACCTCCAAAACCTAAGTTGACAACCATTAAAACTCTCCAAACAAATTTGTAGCGCTGCATTCGAGAATCCATGGATGGGAAGAACTGACGCTTTGCTTTCTCCTCCATTGGCGTTTTTTCGGTCGGCATTTTTGCTTTGAGGTTGGAACGGTTTTCTGAAGAAAAGAAGGTGTAGCTGACTAGCTGTAGTAGAAAACTCGTTGAAAGAGGCACGGCGTACCAATTATTCTTACCGGAGCTGTTAATAACTGAAATGACCTTTCTAACCCCATATAAACGGAACTTGTTAATAACTTAATATGACATACTAATTCCGTTACATATTATTTGTAACGATTAGACAAATGGAGGTAGTATTAACAAGTATTTTCTCAAGTAACATGTCATACTAGATGAAGAGAAAATACGTAGTATATCAACATTTCCCCGTCGTTAGTAAGGGTATATGTGTAAAGTAGCCTCTAGACCTTTAACAAGCAACAAACTGACGTTAACTCCTCCATTGCAAGCAGTCCGGTTACGCCAACACATTCCGTATTGTAGAGGTCCCGTTAAGTCCTCCATTGCAAGCAGTCCTGTTAACTCCTCCATTGCAAGCAGTCCCGTTAAGCAGCCCCAAAACCTCTCCTCATTAGCCTCAGCAGAACGATTCTCATAACCTCTAGTTAATAAAGCATCAATTGTGGTAGAGTAACCTAAATTCGACTTCTGATGTTAACAAATTACGGTTTTGTGGACTGATTGGGCGTTGCGGCGAGGGTGAATTGTTAAGCTAAGGGTTTTACTTTTTTTGAAGCTGATAATAATGTAATCTGTTGCTGGTGATATTGCATATGCGATCGTTTGTAGTTAAAGAATTTGTTGATTGTTTGTGGTAATTGGATGTTTATTTATATTAGTTTTGTTTATGTAGTTGGTACCGGACATTGAGTTAATTGAATTGGATGTTTGATTGGATGTTCGATGCTGCAACTATTCAAATCCACCAGAGCTTTCGAAGTCACTCCAGTTTGCTAAAGCCCTAAAACAATAGCTGAGAGAGGAAGAAGAAACACTTTTACAGAACGGGGTTCGATTTTGTATTACAATCCGAAATTTCAGGCCTAACGGAATTGAAAACACACTTTAACTTACGTTATCTGCCATCTCAGCACATACATAGAGGAATAATAAAATAATAGCTGCAACCTATCAAAATTGCAACTTTGCCACTATATTGACATATTTTGTTAATATGCTATATTAATTGGGCAGCCTCCTAGATGAACTCCGTGCGATTTGTTTATATGGTGTTGAAAAGGCCATTTTAATAATTAAAGTAAGGGTAAAATGTCGTAAAAATTTGGGGGTATTCATAATATGATACTAACATTTGACTAACATCCGTCAAACCTTACATTTCTACACATAGGAAAACTTGTTGTTTTGTTTGTTTCTTCGTTCGAGAACTTCATCTCTTCCTAGTTGTAACGCTCAGCGCTTCGAATTCTATTTAGATTTACAGCTACAATTTGGTGTTGGTGGCAGCGAATTGGAGTTGGTGGTTGTGAATCAGCAAGCTATAGCTACGGTGTCCAAGGTTTGAGCAGGTGGCGGCGGCAACCGAGCAATGTATGGCTATGGTTTCTAAAGGATCACGCTAGCAAAGAAGCTCCAAATCAGTGGAGTGGCGAATTCAGACATCACAACCCTCAGTATGTTGTACGCTTTCTCTATCGCTCGGCGCTCCAATTTAGTGGAATTCTAATACATCATCTAAGAGAAGAGGAGGGAGTTCGTGATTTTTATAAAGTGGGATTTTAGAACGGGGATAGAAACAGGGTCTCAAACCATTGTTAAACGTTTGAAAACTCCAGTTTAATTGCCACATCACCATAACAATATAATAATATTAAAATATTTCACTCTAATGCTCATAAGTGCGAAAATGCCACTATATTTAGGGGTGTCCATAATTTGGATTAAAAACGAAATCCAATATTATCTAAACTAAATTATCAATTCGGATCGAATCTAAACTTTAAATCGGATCGTATCGGATTGAGATTTTTTAAAAATTCAAATTTTCGAAGTGGATCAGATTGATCCTAATTGGATCCAATCCAATCCGGAAACCGAATTGTAAAATTAAGCTTGTATATATATGGATTTCTTTGTTTTTTGAAGTTTAGCTCAAATACATACTATTGCATAAAATTAATTAGGGAGACTTTGTATTAAATAAATAACTAGTGTGTGGCCCGAGCAATGCTCCGACTTATTTTTTTTAACACTTGTAATTGAATAGATAGGTTCATTCTTTATTATTTATTTATTCATTATTTGTTTATAATTTATAATAGTTTCTCATTAAATCTTTGAATAAATTATTGGAAAAATGGAAACTAATAATCCCACCTTTGGGTAATCTGCTCAAAACAATCACACCTTTTCGAAATCCCAAAACAATCCCACCTTTAACCCCCATTTGCTCAAAATGATCCCTTTTACCCATAACTTGTTTAACAAGTTGGTTTTTTTTTTTTTTTAATTTCTTTAATCTCTCTTCCCTAACATCTTCAATGGCAACTCCACCATTATCACCACCCCTAACCTCTTCAATGGAAACTCCACCATTATCACCACCTATAATCAGACCAGCACTTAATCAACACCACCACACCACTACCTGACCCAACCTTGCTTGGTCCAGCAGAACCTCTCACCACCGCACCACACCACCCAACCTCGCTGCTTGGTCCAACAGACCCCATCACTGTACCAAGCCACCCAACATCGCCGTCTAGTCCAGCAAACCACCCACCACCTCACCGCACCACCCAACCTTGCCGCTTGGTCCAACATACCCCACCACCGTACCAAGCCACCCAAGATCGCCGCCTAGTCCAGCAAACCACCCACCACTGCACCACACCACCCAACCTCGCAGCCCAGTCGGCTAGTCCAACAGACCACCGACCATCGCACCACACCACCCAACCTCGCCCATACCCCCTACCCAACCGTTAAACCCGACCATGAAAGGAATGGTGTCTTTCGAACAAGTGTATTATTCTGATGGCGGGTTCAGAATTATTAGAAAGCTAATATATTCAGTAAGGTCAAGTGATCGGAATGCCTGGGTGGAGGTCGCTTCCGATCAGTAATATTAATATAATTAATATTACAACTTAATCTTGACTGAACCCTTCGGGTCACAACCAAGCAAAATATACGAACCGACTCGACGAATTAATTCGGAAGAAATTAATTCGTCGCCCGAGTGTTAAATATTTAGACGTCGGAAATTCGAGCTTAGAGCGTCGAAACCGAGCGTCGGAAATCGAGTCAAAAATAATAAAAAGACGAGACGAAAAATTAGTAATAAATCAACAATGACCAAAATACCCCTAGCATCGGAATCCTGAGTGCTAGGGGATTAGCCGAGCTAGCAGCCCGCACCATGTGCGAGACATGCTAGCAAGGCGTGGCTAGCAGCCCGCACCATGTGCGAGGCATGCTAGCACAGCACGGCCATCAGCCCGGAAGCAGTGCGTGGCGTGCTGGCGTGCGGTGCTGCTAGCAGCCCGCACATGTGCGTGGCTAGCTAGCAGCGCCCTCGGCATCAGCATCCCGCACTAATGTGCGTGGGCGTGCTGGGCCGAGCTGGCAGCAGCTAGCAGCCCGCACGGTGCGAGGCTAGCTGGGCCGTGGGCCTAGGTCGGGTAGAAAGGGGAAGCTAGTAAGTATGCTTGCTTTTTGGTGTGGACAAGGGTCACAAGGAGAGGAAGAAGTGGGGAGCAAGTATGGTCCCCTCCTCTCCAAGTGGTCCATACTCCTCTTTACATATGACTAGGACACTTGTTGATTTATTATTTGCTTATATATTTAATTTAATTTAGCTTTAATTTAATTTGTGGAATTTCATGAATCCCACATTGATGGGATAGAAATTCCCACTCATACTTTCCTTTATAAATACCAACCTTGGGATTTGGAGTAAAGTGCTTGAGTGGGAGTTAGAAAGAGCATTCCATATTTTTGGAAAAACTCTTAAACTCCATTAACACTTGGGTTTTGGTCGGACCTTGCTAACTCCAAGATAGCGGACCTAAAAAGTCGTGTTCGTCCTTTGTGGGTGGATACCGTTGGAGGCACGACATTTACGATGCTCATGGCTTTCAAGTAAGAGCCCGTTTTGTGAGGGCGAAGCTCGTTTCAAGGGTATGATTCGTTCTTCCTTTTCTCGTGTTTATTTATGCTTTATGGTTTTATTAATTACGAGTGGTTCCTTTGGTCGGGGTCGTTTCCGCGGTGAGTCGGACTCACCAAACCCCAACAGCGGTATCGGAGCCCCGCTCGTTTATTTTTATAATCATGTTTTTCAAGGTTTATTTTGGCTTATTTTTCTGGTTTAAGTTGCTGATTAGATTAGAAGCTCGGTTTTATTTATTTTAATCCCATTTTCAATGTCGAATTTGGCCCAGAACCTAGATTTTCGCCCAAAAATAGTGAATTTCTGGTGGAAAAGGTGTTCTGGAAAGGTTTTTACCCCTTGGGGCTGTGATTTTAGCCAAATTCTGACCAGAAATACCTTTTTCGAGGGATTTTTAGTTTTTGACGAAAATTTTTAAGTCTTTTCTAACCTTGAAATTAATGGCATAACTTGTTGATTATGTGGTTGATTATTTGCATTATTTTCTGCATTTTAAAGTCCCCTTAAAGCACACTTACTTGGTAGTATTTGATGCTTAAAGGTTGATTTATTTTCACATAATTGCAAACTAATTGCTTTTTAGTGTGAACATTTTTGTTTTGAGGCTTCCTAAGTGTTAAAGATCAATCTTTATTTGTGATAAGTGATTGAAACTTTAAAAACCACTAAATTCCATGTTATTTTGTGTTAAACTTTGTTGTTTTAATCATTTTGAGTTGATTGGAAACATAAAGTTTCAATTTTTGTGATAGAAATTTGGTTATCTTCATGTTGGAAGATATAATTTTCAAGGATTCACAAAATTTAGATGTTGGAATTTTCATTTGAACATTAAATTTCATATTTTTCCAACTTCCCCTTACTTTGTCAAATTCTCAAGTTTAATTTAAATTGATTAAATTAAAAGTGAGAAATTGCCTCAACTTTGTTATTGCACCAAGCTAAACCAATTTAATTAAGAATGGTTCTTGGAATTATTTTGGTTATTTGCACTTTGAAATTTTATTAAGTTGGACTTGTTTAAAAAAAATTTCATTTTTGCTCATTAAGTTAGTTCTAAAATTAATTTAGAATTAATTAATTATGTCTCGCGAAATGGGATCAAATCCCGAGGCCATGGCACCCAAAACGAGGCAAAGAACCACACTTGGCTAGCCAGGCTGCATAGCAGCCCGCATGTGGATGCCAAGGTGGCTGCCCCGCCTTGCGTGCGGCCATATGCGCGGCAGCAGCACACGGCCACAGCAGCCACGCAGCAGCAGCCATGGCTGTGTGTGCGCGTGCGTGCGGCAGTGGCAGCAGCTCAAGGCTGCTTGCCGCGGGCCGTGTGTTCGGAGCTTTTGTGTGTGTAAATGCTTGGTGCGGTGAGGCGAATGGTCGTAGTGTGCTTGGTTTGCACGAGCCGCAATTATTCGAGTTTCTTTGGCAAAACGCTTAAAGCGAAAGCCATTTGAAATGCGGTTGGCTTAATATTTGCTTACTTTGCCGTTTTATTTATTTTAATTAATTTTGTTTATTTTAATTAAAATTTTGGGAGGCTAGGCCTCGGTTTTGAGCGGCATTGACAAAATTTTATTTTGACAAGTTTGGGTGCTACCGACTTAATCAATTGGATTAATTAAGGGAAATGCGGAATTTAGTGGGAGCTTCAATTATTAATGGCGTCAAATACATAATCGGTTAAACAACTTTGACTAGTTTTAATTAGGCGTGTTAATCGGATTAACCACCTAGATTAGTTACTAGTGCGCGCGTTGTTTAAATGTTTTTTACTTGTTTGATATTGTAAATTGCATGGGCCATTCACAAATAGTGAATGGATGAATGGAATGTATATTCTCTCTCATAGGTTTCATGAAATGGCAACTAGTGGGACCCGATTAGGATAGAAAATACGGACTACGTGCCGTTATGTATTTTTGTAAATCTAAATACGGTCTACGCACCGTTAAGTATTTTTGGACCTTAATATTTAGATTATTCCTAGTCGTAGACACTAGTATTTGCATAGTTTGGTTAAGTCTTGAAGACGGCGTATCTTGGAAGACAAAGCCTTGAATTGCAAATGAAGACCTTTTGAAGACTTGAAGAATTCAAGGGGTCATGCTAGTTGCCAATATGCATCTATAATTTCGCTTTATATTTTATGCTTATATATACATGTGAATTATTTGTTAGATGCATGTTTAGGTTTTCTTTATGTTGCGATGATTAGTTAAGTTCACTTAAATCAACCAACATAGAAATCCTAGGTCCCTAATAATATTGAGTCAAACTTGCCTTTTCAAAACAACACTTACCAACCGAACGAGGGTGATGGTAGGCTACGCCAAAGCAAGGTGCCATCACTTCTCCAAGGCTCATAAGGCACACCGGGTGTGCACGTTGGTTTTGGTTGAACTCATCGGTATGAGTGAGGAGTCCTCACATACCGTGGCAAAAGAGATACATCGTGAAAGATGCATTAGATGCGACGATTATCTAACCAAGAGTGGCTTAGAGCCATTTGCAAGGCAATGCTTACCTTAGAAGATTGAGTGTTAAGACAAGCCAAAGCATGCTTAACCACTCTTTGTTTCTTCGGATCTTGGAATCGCCTTATTTTTGCCAAATAGGGACAATTTTTATGCGTAAATAAGACGTTTAATAAGATTGAAGTTTGCATGAATGCTATTAAATTTCAAACTTATTATGTTCTTGATAAATGGTTATACTTTGCACTTATATTTATAGTATTCTAAATCAAATAATATTGTTTTCCATGATTGGTAAAGGAAATCCTTGAGAATAGTTCTCAAAGACAGGAAATGCATTTCTAAAATACAATTCTCATAAATGACTTTTATAACCAAGTCCGAAAGAACGGTTGGACATCATGTATTCAAAATACTAGGTAGTTTTGATAAAACATGAGGTATTGAGTTGCAAACTCAAGATTGTCAATGTTTGACAACCAATGTATCTTTTCGCATCATTCATAATTGAGTAGGACTCATTGATGTAGTAATTTGAGTAAGAATTAATGGAAAAGATGGAACTTTGTTTTACGGCGCACTAGGTGCTTGATTATGCCTAACAAAGTATAAGAGTCAAAGTACTTAAAGAAATAATTCTTAAAGTAAGATTATGAGATATTGTATGATAAGAAATATAGGAAAGAAGGAACAAAGAAAAGGAATTAGATTCCATTTCAACTCATGAGTTCATGTTATTGTAGTTAACTGAGTAATTCGTTATCTTCACAAGTATCGGATACTGCTTGAGTGTTCCACTATGATAGTGACCTCAAACTATTGAAGTTAAGCTAAGTTATCGACTTACAAGCTTAGAATGAAGCAAGAAGAGCTACATCAGTCGTAAGGTCGTATGTTTTGTTTAAAGACCTTTTAAGCCAAAGGCTGGAACAAATAATGGTTATTATGTTCCATAATCAGCAATTGATCCGTTTACACACGGAAAGACTCACATTCAAAGTAATGAGCAATAGTTGCGAGATTTATTTGAATGGCATGGTTATCCAAGCGTTGAGTCAAGAATGCTTGATTATAAACAAACATTTCCCTAACATGATTAACTCACTAAGTTCAAGTCATGGGCTTGATTTGCGTTCCAAACATCTTTAGCAATGTCATATCAACAAGAACGTACTCAAGATTCTATTAGATAGGCTCTTGATAGTTGCTCGATTTGGAATCATTCTAAGACAAGCAAGTCTTAGTTGTTGAAACCGACAAAGCAGAGAGCTATTGTTCTTGGTATAGACAATTGACTCCGAAGGCTAAAGAGGAATCAATTACTTCAACGTTTCACAAAGAATTTGAAAGGATATGGCTATATTCATCAAATGTGAACAAACTTGACCTGAGTAGCTCAAGAGTCCAGTGAAGTACTGAATCGACTTGGCAAGATATCAAAACTTCTAGATTAGATCGAGCAATGTTTGCTTGAACCAAGCGTGACCATCTCAAAGTTATGAATGGAAATTTTCATAAAGAACTCCACAAAGAACATAGTGTGTCCTCACGGAGACCTTGATGTCATTGGAAAATGACTCAAATGATGATGTTCACAACCCTTCCTATAAAGTTCTTAAAGATTTGCACAAATGACTAATGTTACACTAAACAATATGTCGAAGCTAAGAAAGGACGCCATATTCAGTTATGGATAGAAATAACTTCTAAAAGTCTTTTCAAGTATATGTCTAAGGCTCTTAGTCTCAGTGGGAGCTAAGTGGCTCAGTGGGAGCTAACTGTTTTTTTCACAACGAACTTTTACCCAAAGACAATATACATGTCTCTTTGTAAGCATTCAAGTGAGACTACGGGCATTACCTCCACATCCTAATTGAGAACATAATGTTTGTTGCTCTAAGTGGTGTCTTTCTGGAAAGTAACACGTTTCCAAAACGACAAGTGGGAGGAAAATGAACTCGATGACCATCGAGCTTAGCAACAAACTAGAACTGAGAATCTCGGAAGACCTTAAAGGACTTCATGAGAATTCTTGATCAAGAATACTCAAAAGGACTTTACAAGTGCCTTAAAAGAGAATTCATTACTCACAAAACATTAAAAATGTTGGAGTAAGATCAACATGATAAAAGGGCTTTGAAAGCGCCTTAAAACTCAGTGTTTGATGCAATTACCCCGTATAGGTATAGAATTCACCAAAGGCTTGGATTGAATCCTATAAATTTTCTATTAAGTTAGAAATAAACCTAAGACTTACAAGCAAAGGAATAATGTCTTGTAAGATAGCTACGACAAATCCAAATTCCGATTGATGGGTAGAGGCCATTAAAATCCGAAATAGACTCCATGTTTGAAAATCATGTTCGAAACTTGATTAATTTGCATGAAGGATGAAAGATCCATCAATTGCAAATAAGTTTTCAAGGAGAAAACTAACAAATGTGGAAATGTATTTTCATACATAGCTAGATTGGTTGAAAAGGATATAATTAATTTCAAGGAGTTGATTTTAATAAAAACCTATTCACCAATCGGAATGCTTAAGTCTTTTCGTGATTGATCTAGCAAAATTGCACATATGAAATATGGCAAAATAGATACCAAAACCGCCTTCCCAAAATAGGATCTTGGAAGTGACTACGGAATAGTCTAAGGGTTTTGAAAATCTAAATAATGCTAGATCTGAAAGCAAGCACATGGAATCCGTCATGGGATTAAAGGAAGCATTGCATGAAGGAATTGGAACGTGTTTTCTCATAAAGTTAATAAGAGGATGGACTTATGGAGAAACATAGAGATTCTGATGAACAAGAAGTTTAGTGGGAGCAAAAGTAAAGGTCCAACGAGAAGTTTACGAACTCTATTGTGAAACAACTATCAAATGCTAAATGCTTAGATTTGAAAGTATTTTCGACAATGGACCAAGCTAAAGACGATACTTAGTACATGTTGGGAATTAAGTTCTATCACTACTACAAAAAATCCCTATCGAGTCGCCTCTAAACCATCTTACGCATCGCTTCAAGGGCGACACTACAGGCACCGACACAATAGGGTACCCCCTTACTTGTCGCCTATAACGTGATGCGTTAGGTTGGTTTGTGAGTTGCCTTTTTCATCACATGTGACGCATTAGGTTGGTTTATGAATCGCCTTTTTAATTACAGGTGACTTGTTAGGTTGGTTTATGAGTTGCCTTTTTCATTACAAGTGATGCATTAGGTAGTTTTATAAGTCACCTTTTTCATTACAGGTGACACATTAGGTAGATTTATGAGTATCTTTTTCATTATAGGCGACACATTAGGTATTTTTATGAGTCCCCTTCTTGTAAAGAGGCGACGCGTAAAGTAACTTTACGAAAATTGTAATTATTCAATGGCGATGCACAAAATACTGTTTTTTTCCTCATTAAATTCACACTTAGCTTGCTACTGTATATAATTAAAACCTATGTAGGACTTGAACCTACATCTATGTGCAATAGCACATTGCTCTACCATTTGAGCTAATAGGCTTTCAAAAACTTAAATGGTAAAACTTCTAGGAATCTGCCATAAAAATATGAACATTCACCTATATACAGAATCTGATCACTTAACTATCAAAGCTTTCAATCTCAATGAGAATCTGAGTCTTTAAGTCTCCTACTTGCTTCATGCTCACCTTGTGATTTGCCCTGTCATAAAATAAACTTAAAAAAAAATTACACTTCTCAGCAATAGAAAAATTAATGACTCATTATGAACTAAATTAATTCATCTTCAATATTATTATTAAATATGTGGTTACGTAAACCCCAAGAATGTCATACATTGAGGTAAATATTTGCTTATGCAGCCAAGTCCATATAGAAGCAATAAAAACAATAAAATCCTTCTTCCTCCAAAGCTTAACATAAAATTCAGAAATTCTTCATACTTTCCTTCTTGTAAATTAAACAAGTATCACAAAGATAAGGAAAGACATTATAATTACTACAAGTGATCATCAAGTGATCAAGTGAAATCTTAAACAACAACCTCCACCTATCTTATAATTATTGCATTTCAATTCTCTGAAAACCAATTTCCCAACAACCAATTTCAATTCAAGGACTCATAGGAGATGCTATAGTAGTGTCACATTCAATTCTCTAGAAGCCAATTTCCCAACAACCAACTAGAAGAACAATAACTTTTTACAAGAAAAAATAGGCATTATTCCAATGTTATTGTCAAAACAAACAGACACACACACACATACAAAAGCATACCAAAGAACGTCCATTAAAGAGGCTTTATTCCAATGCGAAATCTACAATGTTCCCTTTCTAAAAGACCAAAATTATAAGACAATGGCACACTACTATACTACTATTCAAGCAACTTCACAACTCATGTGAAACATGATAAATTCAAACTCCCTAAACTAAATTTTAATACAATTGTACATTTTGTGCAATTGCCCTACCTTTAGGAATGAAAATTAGCTCCCTATAATACCCAAACAATAAGCCCTTCACCAAGAGGCCAAATCACATTCTCTACATTAGCTCCCTGTATATATTCTGGCAACATTACAATAAAGGGATACGATAGAAAAACAAGCTAATAATGAATAAACTACAAAACTAGGCAGCTTGATATGCTCCCCACCTCTCATAACCCCTCATGCCACCAAATATGAAAAATTAAATACATTTCAATGCACCAACCCATTTATACTTAAGTGCACCAGTCATGGACAATCATCAACAACATAATGCGAGATTTCTCGGCATTTCTAACCATAAAAGACTGCTAAGAAATGCTATACAAGCATAAAAAAACAACAATCTTACTGTCACTTTGCCATTAAATATTACAATCTTATAAAAATCAATCAATTTCAATCACATAAAACAATATATAGTGTCAAATACACAAAGACGGCGAAAAATGTATACCTTACATTTAGCCACCAAATCCATTATTCAGCTGCAAGATCAACCACGACATATCTACCTCAACTGCCACAACTAACGATTGTAACACATACTCAAGTAACCTAAATTTTCACCAAAATCACAAAACTAATTAAAAATTCATAAATTTTTGTTCATCATACACCATTAACGAAACCAAAATTCAAAAATCAAACAAACCGATCAAACAAAAACTCATCTAATACAAAAAATCACAATACAATCAGCAAATTCAACTAAAAAATCGAAAAAAATCACAAAAAATAAAAAACTAAAAAAACCTAGAAATTGACAAATTAATACCAAAAAAAGGGGAAAATCACCAGAAATGGAAGAAAGTCGTCGTCGTAGTCGAAAAGGAGAAAGAAAGTGAAGATGAAATGATGAATTAGTGAGAGAAAACACGAAAGTTGTAAGGGATTTTGTCTCTCCTCCTTTGTTGATCCTTTTGAGGTGAGAAAGAGGAATGAGAGATTGAAGAAGAGAAATAAATCCGTGGCTGACAATGGAGACAAGTAGAAGGTGGTAGTCATTGTCGGTGAGAGGCGATGAGAGGAAGGAACAAAAACACCAAGGGAATGAATGAGGGAGGCGAGGATGAAACAAAAAAAGACAAGGGAATGAATGAATGAATAAATGAATGAGGATTCTAGGGTTTTTGTTTTAAGCTGCTTTCTTAACTTGGCAAAGGACCAAAGGTGTCGCCTATAATAATGTAGAATTAGAGGCGACTTGTAAAGTAATACTTTATGAGTCACACATGATGAAAGATGGGATGTGTATAGTATACGTATCGCTTGTTATAGAGTAGGTGTTGCATATGCCTTTTAATTTTATTTTAGGTGTTTTTTATCAAGCTTTATGTGTCACATGCTTTGTAAGAGGCGACTCTAAAACTTTACACATCACTTGTTAATTTGAGGCGACTCCAAAAGGGAAACTTCGTAGGGTGTTTTTGTAGTAGTGTATGGTATAGACTTTAATTAAATGTTTAAATGAGTAACGGAATTTACCATGTTAAACATGAAGGACTTTGAAAGGCTTTCGACCCATAAATGTATGAAGCTAAGTAAATGTTTGAACTAAGTATAAGCTAGGCTAAATATTAAGTCAACCAAGAAAGACTCTAGTAAGAGACTTTCAACCATATCACATAGCGAACATTTTGGCAAGACTCAGTGTAACTAAATGAGCTAAATGTCACATGGATTGAGAATCATTCTAGAATTAAATCCATCATGTAAAGCTATGATATGGAATCGTCAGACGACTTACTTAGAGCATGTGAAGTACGTATATAATACCAGTCGACATTAATCTAAGTATTAGATCATTAGATTATAGTCAAGAACATCCATAGCACTTAAATAAGTAGTTGGATGAGTTCTTGACGCATGGAAACAAACACAACTTGATTTTTGAAGTTGCAAGCACAAACCTTAACAAGGATTAGATCCTTAGCAAGGAAGCCATTTATAAGCACGAGGCAAGAAGTGTCGTGGCTTGAGAATGGTAACATGGATATGCATCCATGTATAATGTGCGGAAATTTAAGATAAATTTCCATGATCGTAAGTGATTTGAGTATTCCAAATCATTGTGAGTCGTTTGGAGTGAAATCCATGCAAGGCATCATCGGAGAGTCTACTAAAACATATGTTGAGAATATTGTTTCCTTAAAGGCAATAATAAGATAGAAGTTAAATGGAAAAGTTCGTTGTTGAACATTGATGATTGTAGGTTGTCAAGTAGAAGGTCTCAAATCATGAAAATGAGTGGGAGCCATTGCTTGGACAATAAATCCTGAATCACATGTAATCCATTAACACTCTCAAAATTTTATCATCTTATTATGGAAATGGTGGATAATGAAGATGCTAGGGTTTGCAAAGTAATTATAACTAAACCTATGCAATAAGTGAATGACAACATTCATAATTGCATGAAAGAAATCAAGCATATCAAATATGAGTGTGATTTCTATGAATTGTGTTATTTCGGATGATATACTACAAGACGGGGGGTGAATTGTAGTATGTTCCTAGTGCCTACTTTTCGCGGAATATAAAACTGATTGCTGTTAGGAACTTAGACAATGCAAAGCGGATTTTACGAGGAAACCATCCAGGGCCCAACTGGAAGTAAAATCTCGACCCTCCAAGGGATTTCAAGCCAAACCAATCCACTATAATAGGGCAAACACCAAGTTACAAACCTATTAAGTGACAGACCTTTACTCACAAGTTCCTGACTAAACTTGCTACACGATAAGACCCTATCTTACCCAATCTAAGTCCCAAACTTAGATTCACTCAGCACTCCCAAAGTGCCTACACTCGGCCTCTCACCAGAAGCTTATTCGGCTTCACCCTAGAAGCTCACACATTGCACTCTTACAATACAATATTATAAAAACGAGAATCCTCACGAACTCTCACACCCCAATACATAAAACACTCAAAACCCTTTTTCCCAATTACAAGATCTCAAAGAATAACTCTAAATACATACTAATGAATAAAGAGATAAAACTAATATGCTGGACACTTCAAGATCTGTCTGGAACTTACTTGACGAACTGTAACTGGAACCTGACTGGAACTTCGACCTGGAGGTTTGACTTAGCTTCGTGGTGAAGGATGAAACCATTAAGCACGACCACTAAGCTTCATCAGCCTCGACTTTGAATGAATACATATGAGCATATTTATAGTACACCCAAATTATTCTTTTCGTAAAAGATAAGTTTTATTAAAAGATAGAAATAAAAGATATTTTCCAAAAATAAGTTTTCCAAAAATATATCTTTTGTTAAGAATATATTCTATCAATAATAATAAGATATATTTACCATAAAATCAGATTTTATCTAAATCTTATATTTTCCAAATATACTAATATATCTTACCATATCTTTTTACAAAAGATATAATTACCATATCATTTTACAAAAGATATACTTGCCATAAAATTAGATTTTATTTAAAACTTATTTTGCTGAAAATATTTTCCAAAAATAACTTATCTTTTTCCACAAGGATTTATTAGAAAATAAATATCTTTATTCTGTAAAACCAAATCCTTAAAAGATATGCACGTGGTAGATAAATATATAATTAAATTCGACCTGCGACCTTTAACGACGTGCAGACGTAAGTTCCGATTAGGTTCTGGAACTCTGACAGTCTCTGAGTTCCTGACAAGTCAGTAACTCTAATTTCATTGACTATCATGAGTTCACCTTGGTTCTTTAGACTTGTTCCAGACTGACTTTTATGTCCAACATACTTACATGAATCCTAGAGCGATATACTTCGATTTCTTCGTCTTCATGTTGTTTCTTTGAAACTCTTGTTCAGGAATCTTGTAGTATTGATGTATTCTTGTTCTCGGGGCAACGTAAAGTTCCTGTTAGGGAACTCTTCATGTACCTGTTAGGGAACATGCTCCGGCTCTTGTGGGAAAGCCTGCCAAAGGTTCCTTCTGCATCTCGTTAGAGAATACCTTCAGGTTCCTTTCTGGTTTGGTTCTCATGGGAGAACCTGCTTTAGGTTAATTCATTCTCTCTTATTCCTCTTGAAGTCTTCTATGTTCCAACCCATTGACTTCACCTAAGTCAGTTCATGTCTTCACATAAACACTTAAGAGAAACATTAGATTGAAGTTTGTTTGTCATAAACAAACTTCAAGTGAGAGAACTAATTAAACTTAAAGCTTATGTAAATACTCCTACACATATATAGCTCATGTATGCATAGTGTACTTACCTCATGAAGCTAACTTATGCAAACACCTATTTACATAGTTACCTTCATGGTTCCTTAGCCATCATCATGCTTATCAACCATAACACTCATCATTGTTCTTGTTCTTCTATTGCTTATCATATATTGCTTAAGTTCCTTATATACATACTTGTCATTGCTCAGGTTCCTTGTATCCTGTTCCAAGTATAACTTGTTCTTTCTATGCACAAATTAACAAACACATTAGATAGATAATCATCATTAGTTTACAATCATCAAAACTTAATTACTCAACAAAATGTTTTATGAAGAGTACTACTCTTAAAACATTTGGGAAAAAACCATTTATCATAAGATGAAACATTGTGAAGTTTCATAGTGGAAAAAAATATTTCTAAATATTCCATAAAACTATTTAATTGTGGTTTAGAATTAAATAATGAGTCCATTCGATTTTAATAAATATTCAAAATAGGCTATCAAGTCAATGGCTTGGATAACGAAACACCTATTAAGTGAACATTGAATATTTTAATCGAAAATCATCCCTAATCAAGGTCATATTTTTTGTGGATGATTAATGACCATTAGAGATTAGTGTGTAGTATGATTTATAACACCGTTTCTTGTGCTATGAGGATATAAATCATTTGCACAGGTATTGGTTTAGAACCATACTGGATCAACCTATGAGAATACTTTAAGATATTTAAAATCGTCATAAGCATTTTTCTCATTATTACTATCGGAACTCTTTTCCTTGACCATGAGTAGTGGGAGGTCTCTTGTTTGAGTACTAGTCCGCTTTGGTTTCCGCCAAACGTCTGCCGTAACTGGGGATTATAACGACAGATATCGGGCGGCTAGGTCCTCTTAGTAAGAGAAGCTACATTACAAGACTGTAAATGTCCCCCTACTAACAATAGGGAACATGTCTTGTTGTTTACAAGGCCTCTCGAAGAGCGAGACTGTGAAAATGCATGGCCGTGCTCAGATGGATTTTAGAAATCATCTGCTTATTGACAGTCAAACTCGGATTTCGAGAAACACTTCTGGACGTAACAGAGATGACGAGTAATCTTACTCTGTAGTTTTTGAAGAGACATGAAGAGACATAGGAAAGGGGCTATACACTAAATGTACACTTGTTCGGAAGGACAAGTGGGAGATTGAAAGGAATGGTGTCCTTCGAACAAGTACGTGTATTATTCTGATGGCGGGTTCAGAATTATTAGAAAGCTAATATATTCATTAAGGTCAAGTGATCGGAATTCCTGGGTGGAGGCCGCTTTCGATCAGTAATATTAATATAATTAATGTTACAGCTTAATCTTGACTGAATCCTTCGGGTCACACCCAAGCAAAATATACGAACCGACTCGACAAATTAATTCGGAAGAAATTAATTCTTCGCCCGAGTGTTAAATATTTAGACGTCGGAAATTCGAGCTTAGAGCATCAAAACCGAGCGTCGAAAGTCGAGTCAAAAATAATAAAAAGACGAGACGACAAATTAGTAATAAATCAACAATGACCAAAATACCCCTAGCATCGGAATCCCGAGTGCTATGGGATTAGCCGAGCTAACAGCCCGCACCATGTGCGAGACATGCTAGTAAGGCGTGGCTAGCAGCCCGCACCATGTGCGAGGCATGCTAGCACAGCACGGCCAGCAGCCCGCAAGCAGTGCGTGGCGTGCGCTGCTGCTAGCAGCCCGCACATGTGCATGGCTAGCTAGCAGCGCCCTCGGTATCAGCAGCCCGCACTGATGTGCGTGGGCGTGCTGGGCCGAGCTGGCAGCAGCTAGCAGCCCGCACGGTGCGAGGCTAGCTGGGCCGTGGGCCTAGGTCGGGTAGAAAGGGGAAGCTAGTAAGTATGCTTGCTTTTTGGTGTGGACAAGTGTCACAAGGAGAGGAAGGAGTGGGGAGCAAGTATGGTCCCCTCCTCTCCAAGTGGTCCATACTCCTCTTTACATATGACTAGGACACTTGTTGATTTATTACTTGCTTATATATTTAATTTAATTTAGCTTTAAATTAATTTGTGGAATTTCATGAATCCCACATTGATGGGATAGAAATTCCCACTCATACTTTCCTCTATAAATACCAACCTTGG